CGCAGCATCATTTCTTGGGCTCATCCTGCTTCTATATCCACTGGAGATCAGTGTCAGTTTGCAATGTCATCGAGGTATCTCGAGGATCTTTTTAAGCCAATCGAGATCTTTGACGTTTATTAGGATGCATCGCTGCGACACGATCATCGAAGCTCCTGTCTAGGATTGCCAAGATCTATGGCTCTATGGAGTCAGCAATAGCCAATAGCTTGCAAGATCATCGAAGCTTGTTGAAGCTTTTTTCTAGCTCCAGCAAGTGGACTTGGAGCCAGCTCCGGCAAAGAATTCTCTGTAGCAAAGAAAGAAGAAAGGCAGCCCCCGTGTTCGTTCAGGTCCGAGGCTTCTGGTGACCCCTTCAATACATCCGGCCACAAACGTGTGGCTTTGAAGCCACATAAGCCACAAACGTGTGGTTTTGACATCAAGGCCACTTGGTTCTCAAGCCACATCAACGTGTGGTTTTGAGGCCACATCATCTGAGCGGTCACAAGGTCCCGCTTTTTGCGAGAAGTCCCAACCGGGTCCCACCGGGCCAATCCAAGTCCCACCTTCTGGTCACCGAATCCCGTTTTTTGCTCGCCGGGTCTTATCGGGGTGTTACCAGGTCATGTTTCCAACAAGAAGTTTCATCTGGTTGTCACGTGTTCCATGCTAGCCAGATCGAATCCGGGCCACCGGATTCCTCCACACTCCGTTGAGGTTTTAAAAGTTTGGATAAACGGCAAAGCGGGACCCATGCACTCGCACTGCTTCAGCAGTTGAGACTCTTGTTTGCCGTGTGGCTTTTCGAAGGTGAGAAACGAGATAGAAAGCATGGCTCTTGCGCCGCGCAAGCCGAGAAGACAGCGGGACAGCTGCAACCTGCAGGAACTACAAGACCAGAAGAGTGACAGAGACTACGGTAAGATTCTAAGCTTCGAATCCACGAGAGAGGCTTTGGGAAGGTTCAGTTTCTGTCTCTAACCCCACAAAATGACGGTTCGAGAGGCTTTGCACTGTTGGTGAAAATCGCAGGCTTTGCGACTCCAAATATAGGGCTGGAAAAGTCCAGCAATTCTACTTTCGCTTGAGCGGATCTTCCTTGAGCTCGAACGTCCCGTGCATCGAAGTGGACAAGGCGCCGAGTGAGTCGAAGTTCATTTTCCAAGAGCCAGAACACAATACAACGGCACTGAGGCTCCCAACTCCAGAGGTGGCCGCGTGGCTGCCGTGCGGAGACGCACAATGCGGCGTGCAAAAAGTACAGCAGACAGGACTGGAGTGGGCTGCACTCGCAATCCTAGGCATCATCCAAAGGAAGCAAAAGGCGAAACGTGCTCTTACAGGGGACAGGAAACACCTGCGATCAACACGTCGCGGCGGATGCTGATAGAAACGAGCTGCGCAGAGAGAAAAACACTCAATGAGGAGTGGTGTGCCTTGCTGCGGTTCAGTATGCGATCCATTTGCCGCGGTCGCCGAGCATTGGAGCCGGTGCAGCGGTGGCGTCCGCTGGCAGCGGCATCTCGGTGCGAAAGACATTTGGACAAGGATATCGCGAACCGGCGACTTGAAACCTGCTTTTGGCATTGGAAAGGAAGAAACGGAGTCCATTTTCGCCCAAAACAACCACGCTAACTCTCCGAAAAGATCAAATACTCAACCACTTCAGCACGCGCGCTGCATGTCGCACTAGTCTTGAAACCCAGGTTCTAAAACTCGCTTGAGCGATTGCCTGGATTAGAACCGGGATCCATTGGATTCAATCGTTGGTTTCCGGTTCCATACCTGTGGAATCTGGATTTTGATGGTCACCAGTTTTTTTTCTGAGGAACCTTCTCAACCACAGCTGTGGCCTCGATCTCTGCAAACAAACAAAACCAACAAACGAAAACAGCAAAATATGGCAGCTAATTAACAGGTCAGCTACAGTGCATAACATTGGCCGGTTTTTCCGTTTAAACCAGCTGCGGATCCTCAGCGACCGTTACAACAACAATGCGCCTGAGCTGTCCAACTGTCCATCACTCCGACCGCCGTTCTAGTCCGTTGAACAACGATCGTGGGTCGCGCAGATTTTGACACCCGCTTCTTTGACATTGAAAAGCGAGAATGGAGTCCTCACACCATGTCTCCAGACGCCCAACTCACACCATGATAGATCAAACTCGACTCGGACGCGCCGCAGCACCAGTCACAGAACTGAGCCTCTAATGTTTTTTTTCTGACCTCAGCAAAGATAGAAGCACGCACATGACATGTTAAAACACAACAAAGAGTCCCACAATATGAACTTTTGCATGCTAACCGCACAAAAACCAACTTAAACCTCTATAACTTCTCACACACACACACAATCAAACGTTTTCCAACCGAAGGAAGCAGAAGACACACGATGCTTTTGGAGCAAAAGCAAAGAAACCAAGAATGAAAAAATACAAGCGAAAACACACACACACGCAATAAAGAATCTTGTTTTGGCTCGACATCTCGGGAGGTCTGGAAAAAGACCATGCCTCACACCCATTTTGGTAGTTTCTCCATCCCTCTTGCCCAGAAAAAGATCACGTAATCTTTTTCCAGATCTCACCAAAAATCCGTGCGGGTCAACTGGCGAGCCCGCTGCACTGCCAGGACGAAGCCCGCAACCCCATTTCCAGGCCCGCAAAACACAAGCAATTCTGGCTTCGCCAGGTCGGCCCTCCACAGTAGTTGTTCTTGCGCACCTCTGCATTGCGCAAGTCGACTACACGTGCTCCGAAGTTCTAAGGGCTGATCTTCACTTCCCATGCCGGCAGCGAACCCTTAGAGCCCCGTAGCCTGAAAGTTGCGTAGGATTGCATGTTGTTCTCGGAAGTCATCCCCTCGCACTCCGCGCAAGCAGGGGGCGGAACAAATGGCTGCCACAGAAAGTCCTCATGCGCATGCAGAATACGTTGCCGGCATGGAAGCCGCAATAGCGCCCCGAAGAGCCAATCCGGCATGCCAACGGCTCCGAGATCGATCCTAGCAATCGGTAGTCATTTGGACACTGTGAAAGGTTCATTCGGGTACAAGTTCCGGTCACTATTTAGGCGTCCACTGTTCATGCACCGCAGCCTTGCCAAGTCTCTCTCGACGGCCTGAAAACCTGCATCCAGGCTTTCCTACGCTGCCACACTTTCAAAGAGATTTACGAGCCCTTTTGGGGCTTGGAAAACAACAAAAAACGTAGAACACATCAGAGTACCCCACTCAGTCTCGGCCGGGATGTTGGTCGGTGTCACTCCGAAAAAGCAGCTATAATTTGAAGAAGCAGTCCGGCAAGTGCCGCTGTGTAGCTACCTGGTGAGAATCCGCGAACAACCGGACACGCCGGTAGAACACTTGCCAGCGCGATACAGAGAGCTGCGAGACATGCTGAATGCGGCTCCTGCAAGTCTGAACTGCGCCACGACGTTGGAGTTGTGCGGCAATAGACCTTGCCTCCGGGCTTGAGACGCCATACCTGACGCCTAGCATATCGCAAGCCAGCAGGATAATCCGGCCTCGGAGAAAGCAAGATGCTGGTTTCCCGACCCGATAAGCAAAGTCGCGGAGTGGGGGTGTTCTCCAACTTGCTGACAGACTCCGTGAGGCACCCCGTCGGGCCGTAGCATCGCTTGGAGCAGACGAGTTGCCGCGTGTCATTGCGAGGCGGCACCGAGAATGTGCTAGCCCCAGAACATTCGATACCCACCTCGCCTGAGGCGGAGGCGTTAGACAGGAAGCGCTCATCGCCATCGGCATTTGCCAGGTCAAACCGTTTGACAGCTCGGTACGGGAAAAGCGCAGGAGGTACAGCAGTTGATACTGGCCTTTCGTATACAAGGTCTCAAGACGGTCAAAACCATGCTGGAGCGTGTCTGTGCCAGGCTCCTTTCTGCAATTAGGTACCTGTTTCACCGCTGTTTTGTTTGTGTTTGGTGGTTTGTTCGTTTGTAGGGACCGAGTGCTACAGCCGCAGTCGACGAGGCCCGTGCAAGCCAAAAAAGTCTGTGCCAGGCTCATGAAGATGCGGCAAGTAATCGATAAAATCGCCATGATTGTAGCTGAGAAGTTCAACATCCGCGGCCCAAAAAAAGACCTTGATTTTTTTTCGGCCCCAAGCAGAGGCCAGAAAAAAGACAAGTTGGAGGCCGGAAAAAAGATGCTTTTGTCGTGTGTGTGTTTTCACTCTTTTTTTTTCATTCTTATTTTCTTTGCTTTTGCCCCCTAAAGCGATATCGTGTGGCTTCTTCTTCCTTCGTGTTGGAAAACGTTTTTTTGATATTTTTTTCGATGACACACTTTGATTTCTTTCGTTCGCTTTCCGCCCCTAAAAGCGATTTCGTGCTTCTTTTTGTGTGTGTGTGAGAAGTTATAGTATGGTTACGTTAGTTTTTGTGCAGTTTGCGTTGCAAAAGTTCATATTGTAGCGCTCTTTGTTGTGTTGTTTGATATGTCATGTGTGCGTGCTTCTATCTTTGCAGAGGTCAGAAGCAAGACATTAGAGGCCCAGAAAAAGATCCACCGGGGTCCGAAAAAAGACACGGGGTCAGTTACGAGATGTTTCGGGGTCGAGAAAAAGACGGCTTAAATCGTAGAGTGGAGGTCGAAAAAAAGATCGTAATCTTTTTCTAGACCTCGTCGCGGGGCTGAAGAAAAGATGGAGGTCGGAAAAAAGACATGCCGGGGTCGAAATCAAGATGGACCAAGCGTGGGGTCTGAAAAAAGATATTTCGGGGTCGAAAAAAAGAGCAGCCCCCCGCTTCCGTGGTTGTCACGAGATTTTCACGCCACTTTGCAGCCAAGGCCTTTCTTCCATTTATGTTCTAGAGTCAGCCTCGAAAGCCGTGGCTGGTGTACCTTCGACGGGTGTGTTCGCCTGTGTATTGCACTTGCTCCATTGTGTGTTGTGACTTCGTCATGACCGACGCGTTTGGCAGTTTCGCTTGCTATCGCAGCATTTGTTCATTGGGTGGTGCAAAGCACCGGGCATCTTGTAAGAACTCCACTTTGCCATGGGCCGCAAGGAGAGACGATGTCAAAACGACACGGCAGTTGATACCCTGAACATCACTCGCAACATGGTGTTTTCTAAGACGATTTTCGAGGTAGACTCTGCTTGCCGTGAACCTGAGCCACTGAAAAGCCTTTGTGTTCTTCAAGCTCCAAGCTCCATTCGATCAGCACAGGCTTATTTGGCTCCCAGAACCCTGGAACACCCTGGCCGCCAGCCCCCGGCCCTGTCGAACCCCTTAAAAACTTCGGATTCCATCCATCCTTGCTTTTTCCCGCCTTCTGAAAGGGGGATGCATTACGCTTCAGTCCCAGCCAGGAGGATGAGAAGCGAAAAGCTAAGGCAAAGGCGAAGACTGCTGCAGGCTCGAGAGACACTCACAGTGCACCTTGCTCCGCGGGATCAGATCTCCACGGGTGCTCTTTTCGGCCTGGAGGGGGGCATTCAGAGGGTTTTGGGCTGAAGACTCCGATCGCAGGGCCACGACATGTGCCTGTGAGGAAAGTCTAAAGTGAATGACCAAGTGGACAAGGCAAGCGGTGGAGTTGGAGTCTCTATCACAGCATCGTGCTCTGATTGCTTCCGCCGTTTGCCATTGCATTGCAAGCTCCGAGCCAGGGTTGTTGAGTCGGCATACAAAAGGCCGAGCTGCAAGCCACACACTGGTTTTCAATTTTGCTGACGGAGGTGCAGAAGGAAGCAATGCTTAAGGGAAACGTGAAGCGGGCAGCAGCAGCTCGGTTGAAAAGAAACTGAGACTGGAGCCATCGGCCCCCACCCATTTCACTGCAGTCGTGTTCTGTGCCTTCGAATGGAGCTAGTTCAAGTCAAGATGCTCTGAGTGACAAGTTAGAGTTGGAGAATGTCATAACTGTCTGCTTCATCGAGTCAGTCCACCATCGAGAACTTGAGCTGTCAAGCACCCACAGGTCCTGGAAACCGCAGTGGTCACGGGAGTGCTGGCCTCGCAGCAGCAGGCTCGGTTTCGTCTATATGCTTAGCTCTGCCAGACGAGCCTGTGAAAGCATCCTGCGCATGCACGCAGTGCGTCCGAAACAAGCTCCAAGCTCTGTCAGCAGGCAATGGATGTGAAGATCGAGCGCCTGGGAACCCCAAAGGTCTTGAACAGAGTTCAATCCATGGAAAGGCTGATCCTTAATCCAGGATACGGGGGCCAGCAAGCAGACTGGCCAAGTTTTGTCGGGCTGAAGAATCGAAGCCGAGTCGAGCTTGTGTCCAAATGACACTTGAGCCGGTGCTCCTGGCCCGGGCTGAGGCAGTTCTCCATGGGTGTCTACGGCAAGGAGTTCATCAAGGCCGGTTGCCTCGTGCATGCATGCTCCATGTGCCACGCTGGAAGGTTCACAGTGCTGACGCTGATAAGAGGGTTGCTGGTGGTTGCCTGACGGGAGGACACGAAGCTTGAGCTCAACTTTGGCCGCCGGTACGGTCTCATCGGAATGCGCTTCGGCAGTTTCAGATCTTGTGGCAGTTGGGACGGTCTGTGTCGAGGCATCGGCACTAGAGGATCCCAGAACCCGCCAAAGGAACGGATCTGGCAAGTCAACAATGCTTGCTGCCATCGCAGCACGCGAGATTCCCATTCCGGATCACATCGCCGCTTGGTCTTGAATCTTGCTTCTGTGCATTGATAAAACATGATCAGTCGATGTCCAAGCATTCGGAGAGCTGCATTCTGGTTGACGAGAAGTTACAGATCTTCTGCCGAGCTGATCGTGGTGGCAACTGTGGCAGTTTCGTTTTGGAACGTCTTGGCGCAAAGTGCAATTCACGAGAAATCAAGCTTCTGAAAAGGAGGTTTGCCATGCTTCTTCTCTCGACCCGTGTCAGGACATCTGGTTCCTGGACAGTGAGGCCAAGCCAGAGGATACTACGGCCATCCAGGCCGGCCAGAAGTGCCAGAAGCGTGCCATTTCCCCCTTTTGTGACTCGTGAGGCCGTGGTTAATGTCGTCGCTGATGAGCACAAGCGTCTGGAGGTGGCTTTCGAGAGTCGTTTTGAGATGTTTTGAGTCGTTGAAGGAGGATCCCTTTGGCATGACCTGTGTGCGGTTTTTCACTTGTGTTTCAGCTTCGGTACACCCTTCTCGAGCTGGTGAACGATTGTGGCAGCATGTCAAGAAGCACTAGAATCGTTGGGCCACGTCAGGAGCTTTCCATCAAACTCCTGGAAGAGGATCCAGAAAAAAACGCGGACTACCTCCAGGTGGGTCTAGGGGCTCGGCAATCGGACTTGTGAGCACGGCCGTGGGTATGCGGTTATTGTAGTGTAAATCTCCCCCTCCTACTCTTACTACTCCTATTGCAACAACAATTAACAACTACTGCTGCCACTGCTACTGCCACTGCCACTGCCGCTGCTCCTGCACACTGTCGGCGCGCGCATCTTCCAACGCGCGTCAGGCCTTCCCGTTTGCAATGTATCAAGGCTGCTCTGCATTGGTTCTCATCTTATGCGCGTAGGCGGATGTCTACTTTCTTAATATGGATGGCTCGCCTTTGCGTGTTGCAGCTGCGCTCCGCTCTGCCCCGCTTACTGCCTGCTGTTGGAGTTTGGGAGCTGTAAGCAACCAGCTGCGGGATCTTCTGCCATGAAGTTGGTTTCTGAGCTACTGGCAGAAGGCAATTCACCACCACCACCACCACCACCACCACCACCACCACCACCACCACCACCACCACCACCACCACCACCACCACCACCACCACCACCACTGCCACTACTGGAAACCCTACTCGACGACTTGTTTGACTCGAAAGGCTTCGCCATGTTGAGTTTGCGAAAAAGACTTCCGACCTGGCACTGTCCAGGTCATCGGTGACAAGTTGGACAAGATGGACCCATCAACCTTCGAGCCGAGGCTGACAAAGCTGTTGCCGGCTCTATGTGCAGCAGAGTCACAACAACCTTGGCAGGGCCTGCGAGCTGCTTCACGGTCTGGGCTTCTCCCCGCAGATGATGCAGAAGGCACTGTGGGGTTCCTGCGCAGTTTGGAAAAGGAGTTAAAGGTGCTGGCAACTGGGAAATATGTGTCCTGTCGTGGCGTTCGCAGGCCACCAAGGACATGTCTGGTGGGTGGCGGATGCGCGTGGCCCTGGCACAGGCGCTGTGCCTGTGGCCGAACTAGTAGCAAGATGTCTACGAGTTAACGGTTTGAAGCATGGAGTTTTTTGGCACAGAATCTCGCACAGCTGACGCGGAACTGGCATCCAGCGCCCAGGTTCGTTGAGCCGCTGTTGCTGATCTTGGACGAGACCGGGCCTTGGGTTGACCAACTTGCCGACGAAAGTGATGGCAATGTCCGTTTGCTAGTGTCTCTTCAAGAGTGCTGCAGGGCCTTAGCACGTCAGTCTCTGGCCTGGAGTCCGCCTTGTCAAGCCGAAAACCCGTCATGCGGCTACCATATCGGTTGGGCAATGAGCTCCATGTCTTTCTGGTGTCGTATCGCAACAAGTTGGCTTGGGCCCACTGAGAAACAAGGAGGCATGATGCAGCTGCATGGATTCTGAGCTGGCACAGGCCGACGAACCACTTAGACTTGGGAGCTTGTGTCTGGCTGGAGGTGGGCAGAAACGGTGCCCATGCAGCTCAGAGTCTAGGTGTCTTTCCTTTAATCCTTCACTTTCCGGCTTCATCTTTCTGGGTTCGTAAACAGTACCGATGTTGAACAGTCTTTGATTGAAGGAGTTGGTCTGAATTTGGCCAAGTCTCGGCTCGAGGAATGATGAGCCGCAATAATTAGCACAGCCATAGCATTGGGGTTCCGGCCATATGTCCTCCGTGAAGATTGCCAATGTCGAGTCCCACAGGTATGGGACAATGTTGACGGCTCCCGGCCACAATTTTGCCACGGGTGCACAGATTCTTGTGGAAGGAGTGTCAGGGCTTGAGACGGAAACTTTCATCGTAGATGATGTCGTCGGCAGCAAGTTCTCCATTCGTCGCAATATCTGTGTCGACATCGCCAGCATGGACCCTGAGACGTCCATCGTGCAAACCACATGTCCTCACCGGATTGGCAACACAGCTGCTTGCGTTGTACTCCAGGCCTTCGACACGGTCGCGCAAGTGCATGTCAAGCAGATTTACGAAATCGGTGAGATTGTGGATGATTGTTCACTGCGCTTGGGATCCTGGTGTGATGTTTCAAAGGTTGTACTTCCAGCCAGTCTTTCAGCAAACCTGGCCCGTGGCACATTGAGCTGTGAACGCTGCAGTGTGGTGGTGGAGCGGTCAGGATCTGCTGTCCCCGGTGTCGCGACCCTCGTAAACAGACCACACAGGTCAAAAGATTCCTGCTTGCGGGATTGGCGAGGTGGCTTGCGTGCGAGAGCGATAGATGTACCCGAAGCAACGCAGCCAGCAACGCAGCACCTGCGGGCAACCACACCAGACATTTCCGTGCTGCGTGTGGGGCAAGCGGGATGGAACCAGTGCAATGGGATCTTCCATCGCAGCACCATGGGGTTTCAAAATGGTCCGCTTCTCTCCATCGTCTATAGCGAAGAACTGTCAATGTGGTGTCTACTGGCAGATGTTCTGCCCCTCCATCCCTTGCTGTGTCAGCGACGAGCCCTAAACCTGCCCGACTGGGATGGGCCGCAGCTCCTCTACGTGCGCCGAGATCTGAGCCTTTTGGGGCGCTGGGAGCCTGTCGTGGGCCCAGCACCAGGGCCGCGGGGCTGCAAAGAGGACACCACGCGGAAAACTTGAGCTGAGAGTTGCTTGAGTGCCTCCGAGCCTCCCTTCTCCCTTGTGCCTTCTCTCAGCCTCAGGCCTTTGGTCCAGGTCTACAAGGAGACCAGGATTGTCCAGGTGTCTTCTAACCAGCTGTCGCCCATCGTAGAGCCCACTGTGGGATCTTCGGTCCTGGACTTCCTGCTCAACTACACCGAAGCGGATTGGCGCGGTGGTCTCTGCCATGGGAGTGTCTGGGGTTTGAGTGCGCTAGAGGCCATGTTGCTGGCTCTGGAGCTGTGGAGTCAGATGCATGCCTGCGCTGCGGTCTGCCGACCTTGGCAGGAAGCCCTGAAGCCACACAGGACAAAAAGCAGTCAATTCCTATGTCAGCTGTAGTCACAGGCACTTCCTTTTCTCCCCCTGTTTTGCCTCCTGAAGGAGCCTGAAGCAGATCTGCCGGCATGCGCTGCAGCTGCCACTGGAGCTTGGCTCAAATCTGCCGGTACCACCCATCTTGTCGGCGGTCATTGCCATCGCCACTTTCACATCCCTGTGGCGTGAGCAGCATCTTGTAATCCAGAAGTTTTCCCAGCCTGCCTTTAGGAGGTACGTTTGGCCTGCCCGGGTGTCGCGCATTGAGCTGGCAAGTGAGCTGCCGTCGGATGAAGATGGCTCTTTGGATGGACCAACAGCAGCGGTCCTTGACAGGTATGCGGGCACTTTCTCGTCTCTGTTGCAGCAAGTACTGAAAGACCTTCCCCTGCCTTGGACGACTACCCCTAGGACAGCTGGAATGGCCACGGATGGCGATGGGCACAGGTTTGCTTGCTGCGATTTGCTGGAGGGCATTGCAGAACAGGAAGGCCCCGTTGGATTGTTGGGCATGGACTCCGAGGGTGCGATCGAGTTTTGGTCCGCAGAAGGTGTGAAGCTACTTCCCCATTCAGACAGCATGCTGCAGACTCTGGCTTCAAGTGGGCTCACGCTAGCCTCGCGCTCCCATGGGTGGTTATGCCATGGTGTTGAGCCGCAGCCCCACCAGACTGAGCCTTCATGTCTGTGTCCAATCTGTGCAGGGGATGGCAGAAGGTGCCTCGGGGCTTCACAGGTTGCAGGGGCGCAAAAGCTCGAGCTATGCGATCCAGCAGGCACCAAGATTGAACTTCAAATCGAGATGACCTTACTGCCTTTCTTCGCGACTTCAAAGGACCCTTCGCTCGTACACAAAATTCTGCCTTTTCTGCTGATGTCAGTGGACAGTTCTCTCCAGCCTCTGCTACAACAGCTAGTTGGAGAGCTGGAGGCCCTGGCGTTACTGCATCAGGGATCTGCCGAAGCGAGGGACAGCGACGATACGAGCAGCGAAGGCCAGGGCCAGGTTGCCTTGAGCGAAAGCCGGGAAAGCGTGTAAAAAGCGCACACCCTGGGATTGAGCTGTCGTGCTACTGCTGCTTTGCCCTTGAGATTTTCAATCACCTTTGTTCTAAGTTCTAGACGTCATGGGTGCCTGCACCCCGGCGTCCTCAGTGCCTGAAGTGCTTGCATAGCCAGGGTGTGGTTGATAGTTGGCGCACCTGTGACATTCTGCGCAGGAGTATTTGTCACGCTACCCCAACACACTCCTCTTCACTTCGCACTCGGAGGACTCGAGGTTGAACTGGAAGAAAACCAGTCATTCGGTAGTAACTTAATCTTGCGACTGAAGCAGCCGAACGTGAACTGCACGTCGCCGGTAGCAGCTGTGAATGCAGGACTTCATGAACGGAGTCTGCACGAACATCATGCAGCTCACGCAGAAAGGCTTTGCGGCACAACACTCGACTTGCTGTCGTAGACGAGATGAGATTGGCACCTGCACATTGCATGACTCCGGGAGGTACGCTCGTGGTTTGGGGCGGCAACTATGATCAGCCGCATGCCTGCAATGCTGCAAGACCAGGGAGCCTTGAAGGCACAAGAGGGCCCACCCCACATAGGGCGGCCAGGGCCAGAGTCAGCATCCGCTTCTGCCACACGGGGCAACAAAGTGCCACAGAAAAGAAAGGATAAACCGCAGATCAAGACACCACTGTCGGCTCAGCAGACTGTTATCAGGTACCACAAGACTCGAACGGAAGTCGAGAAGAACCAACTCACGAAGTACAAGAAGGCTGTGGGCGTCTCCAGGGCTTCGGGTCGCGCTTTGGGCAGTGCTACTCACGTGGCGAGCGCTCCCGCGCGCAGGAGCAGGATGACATCAAGCATCTCCAGGCCGGGAAAGTGAAAAAACGCCCGAGTTGCAACAGGCGAGCGCGGCGAGAGAGAGTCCAATCTTCATGGCAATTCATGGCCCTCATGAGCCGTTTACCAAGCAATCCGGCGCAGGAGTTCATCCGCTCGTGCGGTACCTATGCCAACCTCCGCGTGCAGGCCAGCACCCTATGTAGGGATCCTCTTACCCACGTGTTTGAACAGGGACGTTGTGGGGCCCATTCGAAGAAAGCACGCAGCGACCAGACCTCTCCTGCACCAGCTGAGAATGCGCTGTGGGCAGACACCACGATACTGGATATAAACTTGGATTCCTGCCACTGGCAGCACTTAGAAGATTGGAGCAGCAAGAAAGGATCTCGATGGCTTCTGGAGAGAGGTGCTCAGGGCGGAGTCGAGTCGGTAGCCACAGGCCGAGTCGAAGCAAAAAATCATCGACAAGATGGTGGAGGCAGGGTTTTTCTGAGTCGTGCCCCCCAAATCCGCTGAAGGAAGGAACGCAAGATGTGAATGACTTAGTACAGCATGGTTTGCAGACCTAGGATCGCGACTCTTTGCTTAGTTGTAATCACGAATGCAGCTTAAGTGTGAATCATGCTTTTGTAGTGGAAACAGCTAGAGAGCTCGTCTTGTATCAGGCTGGCTTGACCGAGAAGCCCATGCCGGATCCTACCTACGAGCCTGGCGCCTGGCCCCACACGCTCGAGACAGCCCAGGTCTGCAGAGAAGCTTCGGTTTTCCATCGCAGCTTTTCTTTCATCTCGCTGCACCTGCCCAGGTTCAGCTTTCCGGACTCGGAGAAAATCTCCCCACCCGCTTCAGCCTTGGTTGCACAAGTGTCTCAAGTCTCGGCTCCAGAAGCACCTGTGGCCCGCGAAGAGGTCATGGCCTTTGCTGGCGTATCCTTCTCCTACTCGGGAAAGAAAGAGGTCGGAGCCCCAAGACAAGATGTGACGTTCTCGGCTCAGCTCACTCAGCTCCAGCTCCCCAGCTCCAGGACCACCTCTACGAGAAGCTGGAGCTCGGTGTGGACTTGGACTCACGTATTGCGCTGGTCGGCGCGGGGTCTCAGAAGAGGCAGGAAGGCAGGGCTGGTTGGATTAGTTTCTTTGTGGAGTTGTCGGTCGGTGCTTCGTACGGGGCGTTGAGTGGGAGGATGCTCGTGTTGTGGCTCACCGTTACGCACTTCTGGAGATAGCCCTCTGCAGCGCAATTGTTTTTCCATGAACTCCTTCATTCATATTCCTTCCCGGTCCAAGTCTGGAACAGGGCTGCATGGCGGCCTTCATGTGCACATTGTCACACCAACTTTCGGAAGCGTGTTCAGTTTCTGGTGACTGGCAGTCATCCGGGCTGAGGTCCCAACGGTGCAGGCAAGTCCACCTTGCTGAAGCTACTCAGCTGTAACTGGATGCGCACGCCGCCACTAGGGCTTTGTTATAGTCAGGCTGTGCATCGCCCCTGAGGCTCATGCTTCAGCAGATCGAGCCCACTGAGGGCGAGGCCGGGGATGCACGTTATTGTCAGCAGCGGCAGCAAAACCGCATCAGCAATGCTTCTGAGAATTCTTCCGCTCGCGGGCTAATGGACCTGCCTCACGGAACCACATACAAGTTGTGCTAAAACCGGTAGAGACACAGGCGAAGTTACAGGCTTTGTCGATCGTAGTGGTTGCGGCAAAATTTGCAGGTGAAGCGCAGCGGCAAGTTGCGCATCGGTCACTACAACCAGCACAGCGAGGCTGCAGATTGCCGGACCTGAATATTGGACTGCCCAGTGACCATCTTTTGGATAAGTTGGTAAGGCCGAAGACCGTCGCCCAAACCGTCGCCCATTACCAGAAGACCGGAAGACATCCTAGGGCCCCCTAGGGCCCTAGGAGAGCCCCTTTGAAAGCCGTTTTGAGCCCCTTAATGAAGCTTTGGCTCGGAGGCGGTCTTGGACCTCGAGGCCTCGCCATTGCAGTTCCTGAAGGACCTCTACCCGGAGGCCAGGCTTCGCACCTGGTTGAGCGTACAGATTTCCAGGTGTGATTTTTTTCTTCTTATTTTGTCTGCAAGGGCTGTAGGGTCCAAGAAGCCTGGGCTTGGCCAGCGGTTTGTCTCCTTGAGCCCGTGGGTCCGTTGCCGATTTGGGGCAGGTGGGTACAGGCCCACTACTGTAGTGCAAGGATGTCCGTGCAGACCGCTGTACAGTTTTATAGTCCTCAAGTACCCACGGAAAGCGTCGTCAATTTCTGCGTTGCAGTCGAACCACGGCTTCGGCTGTATTCAGGGCATCGTCACCACAGCGGGCAAGAAGAAGATGGAAGATCCTGAGTGGCGAGGCCTTCAAGGGCTAAGAAAAAGCTTTCCGCTTTCGATTCAGAAGACGCCCCGAGTGTCCCTGGTTCCTGAGTAAGTCGTAACCTCAAGTCAAAGTGCACTGCAGTAGGGCCGGCCCGCTTGGAGTGCTGTGCCGCTCGGTGTCGAGGCAAGCTGGGCTCCTTCGGCATCACTGGTGACTTCCAGTGCGGGACTCACCATTCAATGAGCGAACGTTGGATTCATGTTACAGTGCGTGGGGCTCATGTCGCCGAACCGCCACTTATATGGGTCGGCGGTTCCATTACTGACCACGCTGCACTTTCCGACGAGGGAGTCCATTCCATGAGCAGTGTCAGGTCTCACCGTTGTGTTAGGCTGCCTCCCTGCTAAGGACCCGCAAAATGAAGACCATGTCGGACTCTCCGCTGCACCTTGAGATGTGGTGGTACCCGGAGTTAGGGATCCTCTGCTTTCTGTTATCTTCGGAGTGTGTGGGCTCATGGTTCCCGATGCCTAGAATAGAAGTTCTTCATGCTTCCTCATGCTGCTCTCGCCCAGAAGCGGTAAAAAGCAGTTCCTGAGTCGCAACCCTGAATTCCTCGCGCATCTGTCAGGACGGGTACAGGACGCGTGTCTGGCGCTCGGCTGTGACGACAAGAGACACGGATTACTAGTATCAACTAGACCGAACATCCTCCAGAACCCGCGCTGTCGGCAGCATTTTTTAAAGACTGTTTCTGCTGCTTGTGTCCAGCACCTCTAACATGAACTAATCCCGCCTGCAGATGGTGATGCTGCTGATGGCGCTGGTGAATCCGCATGTCCTCCTCCTCGATGAGCCGACGAATCACTTGGACATGCAGCTCGGCTTCCCTCGGCGCATTCTTGCTCCCAGTCCCCGGCTTTGGGGCCTCACAAGCCAAGGCAGTGCATCGATGCTTTGGCAGGGGCTATCAACAAGTTCTCTGGTGGTGTGGTTCTGGCCACCTCGATGCACAGTCAAGGCTTAGGCATGTTTGTGTTGTATTTGATAGCTGATAGCACTCCTTCGGCATTTGTGCGTGGCGACTGCTACTGTTGCTCAACGGGAGGACTGTGCAAGTGGCGTAAGGTGAGCCACGACTTCCGGCTGATCTCCCAGGTGGCGAAAGAAATCTGGGTATGTGTCGGAAGCTCAGGGCCTGGGAACACGTCTCCGTAATTGCCTCTAAACTCAAAGCCATTCCTGCAGAGGACAAGAAGACGGTGGCTAAGTGGGAGGGCGACATCCAGTCGTACAAGAAGCACCTGAAGAAGGAGGTGCGAGGGGACAGAGGGGCTCGGAAGATGCCTGTGCGACCCGACGCGGTGCGAGGTCATGAAGAAGTTCAAGGCCTGAGACATTCCACGCGCACCTTCATGAGGGCATGGGTCACACCTTTGAAGTGCGCCTGATGCTCTCTGATGGAAGTCGGGCTGTTGTTCCGACATTGCACCTGTACCCCGGCCTAGCTGTCACTCACCCTTTAAATCCAGAACCTCACATAGCTCAGCTTCTTCGGGATCGTTTCTCTCGGTGAGATCAGAGCAGCGCTGGTACACGTACTTTTCCATGCATGGCCTGCCGAAGTCTGATTCCAGACCGGGCATCTCTCTTGTGTGGAACCGTCTTTGAGACAACTGATGGTAGGATTCTAAGTAGCTCTCATTTCAAAATCTGTTCACGCTTCCACATGCTGGTCTTGGCTTTTCGGGCCGAGAGTTTTGCTGGACGCGGTCTGCTAAGCCAGAGCGAGTGATGGCCGAGGGCAGTGAAGCTAGCTGCCACTGTTCTGCCTCGGACCGTGGCGTCCTGAAAGGGCGACTTCGCTAAGTCCTCCGAAGCATCATACAAAGGATGCACTTTGAGGAGCCGCCCTGTCTCACCCCTCGGGTCAGGGCACCCTGGCCTCAATGCCCAGCGCAGGGCGGGTGCTGGCGATGCAGCACCGGGCCATTTGCTCGACTTGGAGGGGTCGATGTTTCATTTCATTTCTAGTTCCGTGACTTTGGCCGTCCCTGGCCAGTTTTCCGTCCGGCACCTCGTATTTGGGTTCATGACTGAGGTTTCTTCTCTGCGACTGATAGGGGTGCCGTGCCAGAGATCAGTGCTACTCTGAGCAGAGTCTCATTCAACTCGTGTTAATGCCTTTCTGTTCTTGCGGTCTTGTGGAATCCACAGGAGCCGCAATGAACGCAGCATCCCAACCACGCCTCCCCCTGCCTGTGAGAGCCATTCGTGCCAGGGCCGGGAAAGCAGCACACCTGGACAGCAAAACAAGATGCAGCAGCAGAAGCAGCAGCTGATGTCTACCTGAGGGGTACTGATATACCAAATATCTGCAAGTATGAGCTGGCAACAACCACAACCTATCTGAGAGTTGCATCGTTGCAGAGTAACTTGGGTGCCCGTTCTCCCTGTTGGCAAGCTTCGGCTTCTTGGCCTTTGACCAACTGCATCCTTGCATGCCGACGGCAACAATCCTTGGGGATAGCAGGGAGAGGATGAGACAAGGTCATTCTGCGCATCTTTGAGTGTTGGCTCAATTCCTTCAACGCCTCAGCCCTTCAGGCCGTTCCCCCGCACCAAGGGACACCATGTCGGCCCAGGGGCTGGCCCTGATCCACGGCACGGGTTGTGTCGGGGCACTGGTGAGCACAGGCATCGCGTTGGCGCCCCTTCGGGAGATGCTCCGCGCCAGGGCAGTGGGAAGCTTGAACGGCTTTGACACCCGGCAGCTGCCACTTCTCTTCGTGAACTTCTACATTTGGGCCGTCTACGCCGTGCAAGTTGGCGATGTTTGGGTCTTCCTGGCCTCAAGTCCGGCAGCGGCCGTTTGCCTCTACAACATCACCAGCGCCATCACCTTGCTCTCGCATCTGGGAACAGATCATCCAAGCCCTAAGCCGTAAGCTAGAAACCCAAACCATGGGCCGGCATTCGTTGCCCCATGCAGCCTAGGCAGGAGGAGGGGGCAGTGAGCCAGTTGTGCAAGCCAGTCGATGCTGGTTTCCTTAGACGCAGTTCATCCCGAGCCTGGGCGCAACTGGATCAAGTTTTGCTTTGAGGGCTTGTATTTTAACACCGGAGACGCTGAACGATGCCAGGAGCCTGGCACGAGGCTAGCAAAGAACAGCGCAGCATTATGCTGAGAAGGCTGGAGAGGCAGACTGTTGGAGGATTCCTTGCAATCTCTTTCATCAGCTGCTTCTTGGGTAAGTGGGAACTCGCTGGTTTGGAGGTTGTCAGCGAGATTTTCCCTGTGTCCTTGAGGGAGGAGGTCCTGGGTTGCGTGGGGTCCATGGCGGCATTTGTCGCCTATTCCCGCCCCGTTATGCGCCTCTACACCTATTGCTGTCGACGGGATGCCTCGCCGATCCTCCTGTCTCTGGTCTTCATGGTGTTGATTAGCAACACGTTGTGGACCGTCTATGGCATTAGCACTAACAACCCTTGGGTTTATGTTCCAAACGGTTCGGGAGCTTTGGTGTCTATCATGCAAATCTTTGTGCGCCTGGTCTTTCCTGGACGCCGCAGTCGGAGGGATCAGACAGATGGCTTGGAGAAGCCGGCCATGTCAAAAGACCTGGAGGCAAACTCCACGGATGTGCACCCAGATGATGGATCCTTGCGTCTTTCCTCCCGCCAGACTCTGCACGAAGATTACTTGCTTTGGCAGCAGGACTACTTCAAGTGGCGGTCTATGGCTGCGACTGTGTCGTCTGCATCTTCTACGGCCTCAGGGGGCGATGAGGATGTAGTGGAAGACGTAGGTCTGGCAGAGAACGGTCAGCTGCTGCCCAACCAGACTGTCGAGAAACCCTCCGGAGCTCGGACCACGGGGCAGCAATGATCTGCCAGTTCAAGTTGGAGGTTATGCCTTTATGAGCCTGCACGTAATTATCTTCATGAGGACCTTGGCTTTCTGCCCAAGGACTGAGGCCAGTCGAGCCAGTGAAGTTGCAGCTGGAGAGTTGCCATGACCAATCTCATGGAAGGACCCATGGAAACTCTTCTAATTTGCTGCCGACTTGGTGCACCCGTGCCGAGATTGTTGCAGCGGCAGCACATGATATTGCCGGAGGATTCTCCGACTTGTTTGATGTTGTGCAGTGCAAGAAGTTGTGAATTTTGCGTGATCCAATCCATGCTACTTGGAGGTTCATGGGTAGTTATCCGAAGTGTTGCAAAGAAGTGCTGTTGGAAAATTTTAGCTCCACCGTGATCCTCCCAGTAAAGAATGTTCAGCGAGCGTGGCCAAGCCATGCACGTTCTTTTGCTACCGAATATGCTGCTTCGAACACTCGATTCGTCGCAGGGGGAGGTTTTGGTCGCAGATAGTTGGTTTGCTTGTTTTGCCATTGGCGTTGGTAAAGCTGCTACTGCTACTGCCTATTGCTACGCCTCCTGCTACCTCGACGAGTTCCACTATCAGTGCGAGCACCGCCACCACCACCATCACCACCACCACCACGACGACTACTACCACTGCTACTCCCGCTGCAACTGCCACTGCTACTGCGAGCAGGAGTAGTAGTAGTAGTAGTAGTAGTAGTAGTAGTCGTAGTAGTAGTAGTAGTAGTAGTAGTAGTAGTAGTAGTAGTAGTAGTAGTAGTAGTAGTGGTAGTAGTAGCAGTAGTAGTAGTAGTAGTAGTAGTAGTAGTAGTAGTAGCAGTAGCAGTAGCAGTAGTAGTAGTAGTAGTAGTAGTAGTAGTAGTAGTAGCAGTAGCAGCGTAGCGGTAGCGGTAGCAAGTAGCGTCGTAGCAAGTACTGTAGCAAGTAGCGGTAGCGGTAGTGGTGTCTGGAGTCGTGGTCGTTATCGTTGTCCTTGTTTTCGTCGTCGTCTTCATCGTCGTCGAGGAGGAAAAGCAGGTGGGAACACTAAGAGGGTGGAGCAGGAGCAGCTGCCAGTAAACATACTTTGAGCCGATCGCGTTGCCGTCCTGCCTGAAGCGTAGTGGCCGTAGGCGGCCTTAGCCCAGTCCGGACGAGGCGGATGGAAGTTCTCGCGACAGTGCAAGAGTAGTTCTCGCTAGGAAAGCTGGCATCTCTTCGAATGAATGCAGCACCACGCACTTGGTTTAGGCCTTAACCTTTCATGTCACGACATCTGCGCCATGTGTCGTTTAGACTTTTCTTCGTGCTTCTAGTCTTGCTTGAAGTCGACACAGCAGTTTGGCAGGAGTATGTGTCCCAGCCATGCCGTCAAAGCTGGCAGATGCCGTTGCGGCGAGCCAGGGTGCAGAGAACCAAAGTGGCCTCGTCGAGCGAATTACTTGGTCCAGGGCTCGGTGCTCTCTTGTGCCGCACAGTGCTGTGCAGTGCTGCGACGTGACATAATTTTGAAGGCTACAAGGCTGTAAGAAGTTAGAGCAATGCTTCCTGGAAGGGTTGTTATGAGCACATTAAGCATCGATTTTTTCCGTCGTTCAGCCATCAAGGTTAGAATGCTTCACGGACAAGGACACGTTGTCAAGGGCTGCTGGTGGTTTCAGATCTCCACCCCATGGGACAGCCAGACTTCCGAGTACGCCCTGGGGAGGAGCGCACGTCCGAATTCTGTGAGGCTACTGACCCAGCAGGCAACCTCGAGTCCAACAGCTCGACAGGACATAAGGACGGACCGCTGCAAACTAGTTGAGGGCCTTGAGGGCCCCGTTGGGCCCGGTTTGCTTGACAGGAGTACCAAGACAGACTCCGTGCCATTGCTCTCCGCAAGGTGGGTCTGAGAGTTCAATCCGGGGAAGCCAGGGGGTCCTTGCACGCGCTTCCTCAGGAGGGCTTCGAAAAGGCAGAGATCGCCGAGGCCATCGGCCGTCCAGCGAAGTTCGTGCAGACGTGGTGGCGGAAAGAGCGACCTGACCGAACATTCAGACTGCACAGTGCGGTTGAGGGGCGAGGGCTTCAGCAAGTTGCTTGGCAACCGGTCGCCGCACTCGCGGCAGCGGCGAAGATCTCGCAGTAGCCATCGGTAGCGGTAGCAGTTGTATCTGCTCAAGCGCTGGCTTCAGTCAGGCCAAAAGAAGTGCCGAAGCCCGCAGGGGTGTCTTGGCAGTGCGGAGCTGTCGCAGCCGTGGTTTGAGTCTGCTCGGCCCGAGGTTCACGATTACCTGAGAACGGACTTCTGGCGAGACATCGAAATCGTTCGTGGTTTCGGCAAAGGGCAAAGGATCTATGAGGATGCCTTGACGAGCATGGATTGGGTCCAGCCCATGGCCGACGGTCGTGAGTTCAAGAATGGAGGTGGGTACAGGCTCAAGTATGACAAAGAAGGCCGCATGCGGCCGCAGGGCAATCAGCACGCGTCCGAGGCTCAGCACAGTGCATGCTGCACATAGCCTTGACTTTGTCTGTTGCACAGACTTACCGAAGAATGGCATGTCACGTGACGTAGATGCTGGCGAGGAAGGATGGTGTGATACCCGGCAGACTGCCAGAGCTTGACAAGCTGATGCAGAAGGTGATGGTCGAGCAGGGTATCGACGACCGTGTGCTGAAGAGGCGAGCTGAGCTTGACGGGAGGGTTCTCCTGCTGCTGGCGGGGGAAGAGGAGCTCTTTGCAAAACCACTGGCGAAAGGCTTGTGTTGCGGGTGAGGCCTGTGTTGCAGCTGTGGTTTGGTGGTGCGTCTGGATCTAGGGATATCGAGGGCATGCCCATGAGTAGCGGGGATTTCCAACCATCCGTGGCAAAGCCTTGCGTCCTCGCAGGCCAGGCCTGTTGTGGTATCCTGACGGCCATGCAGATGCCATCGTGCATCGGCATGAGGCGCCCTCCTGCGCAAAAGTGGTGAGGTCTCTTTTGCAGGTTCTGCACGTCAGGTACTTGCTTCTGAGGTCTGCACGTGACCACAACGACATTGGGAGTTAGTCGCGGACCGTATGCCTCTCATGCAAGTCCGAGTTTCGATCAAGACACCCACGAACACAACACCTTGGGTCTCGAACATCCCTCAGCGCGGTCCTGGACGTGGCAGTGTCAAGCTCAGCCCATGACAGGCATGGACGGCATTGATGTCCTTCGGCAGTCCCCGAATTCTGACAATTGAGTCTTAGCTGAGTTTGTGCGCTGACAAACATGTGGGTAAAGAGGGTTTCAGAATTAGACAAGTCTCGACACAATAGACATCCAAGGAGTTTTTAAGGGTTGGAACACAGCTTCACAAAGATGAGAAAACAAGAGGTCTCGTATGTCTCCACACATATCAGTACAGCTCATGCAGTCATACCGTATGGGCACCTAAAGATTTTGAAGACATGCAGAGGAGCATGTCTATCCAGATAGACGGCAGTTGATGGAAAGCTGAAGAAGACTGGAAACTAGAGCTCTAGAGAGTCACTCACAAGGAATCTCTGTAAAGCAGGCATCTTCAGAAATCTCCAAAAGCAAGAGATGCAAGTTTCAGAACCAACTAAGCAACTGTAGAGTCGCTGAGCAGATCTGTAGAACTCCCGAAAAATCGAGGTCTCAAGGTTCTTGTTCTGCTTAGTTGGTGGTCGCTTTCCTTGTTTTCCTGAATCTGCCCTTGCTGTTTCCTGACTTCTAGCGCTTCTTTCATTTGCAGATTTCTTTAACGTGTTTCGCGCGGTGTTTCCGGATCTGTTTTTTTTTAACCTTCTTTCCGACTTCGTCCGTGCCGAGAGGGCCCTGATGAAAGCCCAGGACGGCCACCCGGTGCTCCTCCGCGACGGCGACCTCATCGTCTTCGGCACCCAGCGACACGGTGTGCCAAAGATGTGCTGCGAAGGCGCGCAAAGTCCCGAAAATACATTAAAACCGCGATGCAACTTTGGAGACGCTTCCCGGCCTGGGCTTCGGGGAGGATCTACTTTCGGCGACTACGGTGGCCGCATGTCCGTGGTGATGTTCTTCATGCCCACCGGCCAACAAGCCTCAGGCACGGCACATACACAGGCTCTCCGCTTTATGGTCTGCAGCTGACCGCCGGACCGCTTGCAGGCGCAGCACCATGGAAGGCCATCCACGACTCTGGGCCATCGCGCAAGGCAGGGCCGAAGCCGTCCCTGGGCCCTTTGTCCACTCTTCCGTCCATTTATTGGCAGCCAAATGAAAGCGCCCGGGCGCTGGAGGCAACTGCCATGCTCCGAGATGCTGATTTGGGCCACGACGCGCAGGCGATGTGCCCTTCTGGAAGTCATCGTCCGTTACTGCAAGTTCAGATTTTGAGGTAAACCGTATATGCTCTCTTTTGCCAAAGCTTGCAGGTTACGGGCCTGCTTTCGGGGGAGCGGGCTTCGGAGATGCAGCAGCTCATGGATATCGGCTTCGATGCTCCGCAGGCAAGCAGAGGGCACATGGTGAGCCCTGCTCAGCCTGACTTGACATGGATCAAGTCAAGGAAAGCTAGGGGCTCAGGGGTGAAGCCAGAGGCTGAAGCTCCGGAGGCCCCAAGCCATCCGCAACAGATATGGCTGTGGACTGTGGGGTCCATGGAGTCTGGAGTTACGAGAGGATGCACCTCATCCACGGACAGCAGATGAGAACCTTAGAAGGGAGATCCCGAAACCTCCAGTATCTGAATCTACAAAACCCATGGATGTAGCAGTGAATGCTCTCAACGAAGCCGTGAAGGCTGCGACCGCGCTGAATGCTGCCGGCTTCGACGTTGCAGCGGCCGTGGAGATGCTCTTGAACCGCTGCCCGGTCGAAGCCAACCGGGCTCTGATTTTTTGGTTCGGGATCCTGACCCACCCTGCATGGTAAAAGGTTGTCGCTTTCGCTTCGGATGCATCATGGACGCAATTCCAACCTTGCGATCTTTAACATTGTTCTCTTGGGTTTCTGCCTCTTGAGATCTCAACTTGCTACATAGAGTCCCCACATCTCTCGAGGAAGTGTCCCGCTGCTGGCAGACAACTGTGAGGCTTGCGTCGACAGGTGCAGCATGCTGTATACTGAGTCGGTCACCTTCTTCCATGCACCAGTGGTCTGGGATCGTGGGCTCGGTGCAGGTCGGGGCAGATTGCAGCTCTTCTATGTCGCTTGGAGGCTTGCGCTGCCCGCTCGCAGCGTTTTTGCGGTGAGAGGATTGCTTGAACCTGGCTCACGAATCCGTGAACATCCAAACCGAATCATTCATGCCTGCACACCAGCGTCGAGAGCGAGAGACGGAGAGGGCCCGGGAGGTTTTGAACACTTTCCAAGCGCAGAGAGAGAGAGAGAGAGAGACAGAGACCCCCCGCGACACAAAAAAGGGGGGAACCATGCTGCTCTGTACTTTCTTCTAGTGCCCGAAAGGAGGTGTGGGGGAGCAGCGTGGTGAACCTCGTTGCTAGTACAGCCGAGCCTTCAAAGGAAAAACCTTTGAAGTGGTGAGACCTCCCGCGACAAGCGGGTGTGCGTGCGCGCACGGGGTGATCGGCCTGGACGCTGCCGTGATCCCCAAGCCCGGAAGAGAGAGAGAGAGAGACCCCCCGCTGCTCCACTGCATCTGGGGAGCCCGAAACTGTCTACCGAGTTGGAGCATAGAGGATGCCACAGGGGCGCGGGGATGAGGCGGGGGTTGTGTCTGCGTTTAGCGTTCGGGGGGGTTGCCAACTCGGAGAATCGCGGCACACCAGGTTTTTCAGTGCCATGATCTGAGCGACCCCAAAACCGACCGCTCAATAAACCACAGAGTGGTCGGGCGGGCCAAGGGCCTGTGGGTCGCACCGCGACCCTTATGCCCTGCAGAAAGAAAAGGAGAGAGAGAGAGAGAGAGAGATATAGCCATTTTGGCTCAAGGCCGGTTCAAGGGTGACGAGGTGGCTTCCGCCCCCTTTCTCTTTCCTTTCTCTCCCTTCGCTCGCTCTTGCCACCTCGCACTCCAACCGAGGGCTTGCTTCCTTCCTCTCTCTTCTGCCGCGATTGCTGTGCACGGGGAACGGCAAGTGTGCGCTGTACATCGCAGGGGTTGAGGTGGGCGAGTACGTCAAGCGTGCAGCCCGACGTGATCCCTCTTCGAGGCGTGCGGGGGAGCTTGACTACAGCTACCAGACCGGCTTGGCGGCACTACAGGTGAACTACCCGCAGTTTCACTAGGACCGGTCCAACCAGGCTGGGAGATCAAGCCCATTGCAGGAGGGGACGTGATATCTACTTGCAGCCCGTGAACCTAGTGATCTTCCTGGGGGAACCATGGCCGCGCAAAGCAGTGCAGCAGCACAAGACATGGCTGTCGACCGCCTTGGGGGAACTGCTGGAGCCCCGAAGCGCAAAGTGCCGGACGCTGAGAACGCAGGACTTACCATCGACATCATACGTGAAGCCGTCCGGGGGGAGCTCCAAGATGCCATGTCGGATTTCAAACAAGAGCTGTGGGGATTTGGCCGCCGGATCGACAAGGTCGAGCACCAAGTCACCACCCAGATGCAGCAGACCATCAACCTCCTGGATGAAGTGTCTGGGAAACACACAGCACACGGGGAAGTTCTACAGCAGCTGCAAGATGCGAACCGAGAAGTCACTTACCGCCTGGAGCAGTTGGAGAAGCACGGAGGGGGGAGCTCCACTGCGGGGAGCACAGTCCTTCCCTCTGAACCTGGACGCCGACCAGCACTGGTGATTGGAGGCTGGGAGGCCGATCAAGATGCAGCCACTACGAAGGAGGCTGTCTCAGACCTGCTCAACGCGGTGGACGCACCGATCGACCTGCAAGCAATGTTCGTTCCTGGTGTCCGGAGGGGATACGCCATCCTTCCCATCGATGACAGACCGGGGGAGCACCTTGAACAACGACGCCAGCGAGTACAGGAGGTCATCACCAAAGTCCGGGGGGCCAACGTATGCTTAGGAGCACGGCCAGATGGATCTACCAAGCGAGTCTGGATCGCTATGTCCCAGCCGCCAGATCGCCGCAGACGAGCCCGCCTTGCTGCGAAAACCAAGCGGCTTTACCTCACACTTGGGGGAGATAAAGCCCTCTTGCAAACCGAGTTCAGCACTGGAAGCTCCTGGGTAGACGCAGTCAAGGTGAGCTTTGCTTCCGCTCAGCAGCCACGGGAAACTGAAGAAGCTGGCCCGGGGTGGATCGACCTGGACGCGATCGCCAAGGCCACCCGTCACACACGTGAAGAAGTCGACAAAGTGTGGGGCCCACTTAAGGCGGAGCTCAACTGAGACGATTTCGGGGAGACCCAGTTTCATCCCCAGGTCGGGGGGGGAATCACGCCCGACCAAGCGAGCGCGTGATGTGGGATGTGTCCTGCCAGGACCCGGCAGGTTTTGGTGGTGAGCTTGTTCTTGAGTGTGGTGGCCACCCCTGCTGCTACAACTGCACTGTGGTGGTGAGTGAAAAGCTGGGACAGGTGTGCAACCGCCTCCCCCCTGAACTCTCCTTCTTGTTTGCCAAAGACAATCTGCCAGTGCTCAGATTCTTCGTGAAACAAGCCAGGCTGCGTAATGATTTCTTGCGCCAGGACCACGTCAGCGCATGCCAGTTCTGAATTCCCCCGGAAACTTTCGAGGATGTCCAGCATCTTTTGGGCCGAGACACCGCCGACGTTCCAGGAGAATATCCAAAGGTTGTTGCCGACTGTATTCCCCCCGGCACGGAGGTGAGACAAATGCTTGCCGGCTGTACCATTGCACACACCGAACAAATCCTTGCGGACTGGGGAGAACAACTGAGCGGACCCATTTACCCGGGGGGGTTCCACAAACAGGCAGAGGGGACATCATCCAGCAGTGGATGGCGCAGCAGGACTTTGCACTACCACCGCAACAACTTCACGTCCCCACCTACTTTCCTTACAATCACTTGATGCAACCCCGCCGCCTCGACTACATCATCGTGCGCGGGGGGGGGGGGGTAGGGGGTGGCTCCGTATGCCCATGCAAGGATAGGGCAGCCTCGGACCATGATGCCGTGAAGGTTCCTGTCGTCGCACACAAAGGAGGTGGGGCGGTGCAATCCACCTGGGGGCCGCGCAAGCTACGGCCCGACAACCAAGTTTCCCAACTCCTCCGAGTGCCCGCTCCGACAGGCGACGACCCTTGCCACACACTGGCAGCCATTTCCAAGGCCATTACAACGCCCGGGGGGGGTGCAACCGGTACACGGAAAGCAAAGCACTCAAACAGCTCAGACAGCAGGCCCAACAGGCGCAACCCGGGGAGTCCTCCCGTACGCTTTGGAAGCAAGTACACAAGCAACGCAAACAAGAAAAGCGAGCATGGGAAGCTCAGCAAGCCACACTCGCGGCGACCCTCGACTGGAGAGCCATGAGGTCCTTACACCATGCAAGTACCAAAAAAGGATGGCATCTACACCTGCAGGACGATGGACAATGGCAACAGGAGCTCAGCAAACACATGCGAGGCATTTTTGCAAAACCCCAATTCAACCAGTACACAGCACAGCACGCACCTTGGCTTTACAACACCAGCTTCGGGGGAAATGCAAGCTCACACCCTGGCAGCCTTTCCAACGCCACGAGCTTGAACACACATCAGCCACCTGGGCAAAGAACAAGAGCACAGGACCTGATGGCATTTCCCACGAGGCAGCCCGTGCGCTACTGGCTGACCCCTACTGGGGGGACAAGATCCTCTACGTCCTCAACGACATCTTCTACGTCGCCAAAGTACCGGAAAGCGTGGATAGAGGGATAACAGTTCTTTTGCCCAAAATCCCACAGCCACTTCATTGGGGGGAAACCAGACCCATCACACTAAGTTCAACACTCCTCAAATGGCTCGCGCAACTGCTGCTTGCCAGAGGGGGGGACCTACTGAGATCAGGCGCTTCTCTCCAATGGGCACGCAAAGGCAGGCAAGGGGTGGAACTCATTGCAACAATCCGTCGCGTTACACAAATGGCACGTGACTGGGGGGTAGGGATGTGGCTCGTCAAACTGGACATCCGCAAAGCATTCGACAGTGTTTGGCAGCACAGTTTGAGTGAGCTCGTCGCCGCCAGAGTTGGGGGCGTGCCATCCACAAGATGCCCAGTACCCAGTGATGGTGAGGGGATGCCTTGGGAGGCAATGCTCTGGCTGAGCATTCTACAAACCCGCTCGCTAAACATAGCAGTGGGGGACAGCATCACACCTGTTCCGCAAACCAACGGCATCCGACAGGGCTCCCCTGACTCTCCGGACCTCTTCGGAGCCATTGTGGCATGAGACCTCCAAACGGCAATTGCCACAGCGGGGGAACAACCTCCAGACCACAAAGGTGGACCGCCACCTCCAAGAACCGGGGGATCGTTCCTGGATGACACTTACCTCTGGTCCCAAGACCGAGACCACCTCCAACGGACGCTCTCCACCCTTGAGGAAGAGCTCGCGACAGACGGCCTTGAAATACATCCCACCAAAACAGCCATACTCTACAGCCAACCGACCGGGGGGGGGGGTCTATCACATTGGAGGCGAAACCGTGGAGTGCGCCCCGCACAAGACCATCATCACAACGCCGGGTTCCCCCATCACCTTGCGGCGCTGGTGGCTGAAATGGGTCGCCGAGGCCGACAGGCATTCGCCAAGCACAAGAAAATCCTCATGGCGCGCACGCGCATCAACACCAGGTGGACAGCATACACCACACTGGTCCGCAACTCAGCCCTCTATGCCGCCGAGACATGGCCAGTACACCACCGACTCCTTAAGGCAGCAAACTCCCTTCAAATGCAGCACCTACGGGGGATGCTGTTCCTGCACCGACAGCCTACAGAGGCGTGGGCCACATGGCACATCCGGAGTCTACGCGCTGCCAGACTGCACTTGCACCGCATGGGGGGGGAGCGGTGGTCAACTTACATTTTACGACGCATTTGGACACTTTGGGGGCACATGGCCAGAGGCGGCGAAGAAGTCAACGCAATGGTCACCTGGAAAAACCTTGCTTTCTGGCGAGAACAACAAAGCAAACCACGAAAGAAGCGAGTCACCCACGCAGGCCAGTTCAACCCCGAAGCAGATGTGGAGCGAGCAATCGAAACCATCGCAGGCACACACTGGGGGGAGATCGCACAAGATCGACGCAAATGGCACGACCTCACCCAAGCTTGTGTGAACCGCTACGACGTACCATGGGCCACTGGAAAGCAACAAGCCATACAAGATAACCTCCTTCCCAACGGGAGACGCCCGACGACTCACAGTTGGATGATGACCATGTCGGAGAAGCTGTGATCTTCGACAAAAAAAGGGGGAGCGGGGCGGCAGCAGGCGGGGGAGGCAAAACACCACTTACTCAACCCACCAACAGCTCACTCCATCCTGTCGTCGACGCAGCCAACACACAACGCACCACAAGCCCGCACAACCACCACAGAGAGTCTGAGACAGCACACCAGGGAGAGAGAACGACTGTCAGTGCCTTCGTAGTGCCGCAGTACAAGTCATGATGTATGTTCTGTGCAGTGCGCTCCCTTTGCTGCAGCCTACACCTCGAGACACAGGCGCAGCAAGGCAACCAGCCATGGCAACTGCGAGCGAGGAGCAGTGTTACATATGTAACAGTGGGAATATGGGGCGCCATACCGCCCACAACCGCCTGGCACCTATATGCAAATACTACGGGGTGCCACAAGGGCGCCGCAAACTTCCAGCTATGGGGGAGACGGCGGCAAGTCCACCTCCTCCCACCACGGGGGAACCAGGGCCACAGCAAGCCACTACAGAGGACACCGAGGAGGAGTACACAAGCTCTACTAGCGAAAGTGGAGAGCCTGGTGCCGACCCCCTGCGGGGGACGCACCAACAAAGACGCTCGGCGCGCACATGGGTAACCAACCGCTCCTTGGTTGCCGACTATGGTGGGACAAAGCCGCCGGACTTTTGCATGGACCGGGGGAGACCGTCAACCGCGGCACCATGCGCCAATTGGGGGAAGCACAAAGCACAGAGTTGATCAACCAACTCGCCGAGTACGCCTACGAGACCATGATGATGCTCAAGCTCTTCGACGGGGACGACATGAAGGAGCAGATCATGAACCAGCTCACCGAAAACCCGCTGCTCGCCAAGGACGTGCATACAGCATGTAAGCTCAGGTTTCAAAGAGAGTTGGGGGTGCCTGTCGCTGAAGTGAACCACGTGCTCCAAAGCACCGGCCGGGGAAGAGGCGGAGGTGTACCTTCACCAACAGTGCCTCAGACCTCTCAGCCAACCTTGCAGTGCGACAAAGGTGGGGAGGAGTCCACACCCAGCAAGCACGTTTCGGAGCAAGCTGCCGACGCCAAAGGGCAGCCACAAGAAGCTGAGTGGAACGACCCAGCTCTGGACGTCGCACCGAGAACACCAGAGCCAGACTGGAGCGACCCAGCGGGGGAGGCAGCACCCTCTACGCCTGACCTGCCGGACCACGTTGTGAACAGCCCCACAAGCCCAGCGGGGGGACTTACATGCGACCTTGGACGAAGAAGCTGCAGAGGAGGCGGGGGAGACAGTATGGCCAGCCCGTGTGGCCATTGAAACTGTCTTTGGCAATGTCTCCAAGACGGACCTCAAAAAGATCTGCGGTGTTGGCAAAGGGGGACACACTGAGAGCGCTGGCGATGCCAGTGCACACCCTGAGCCTCAGGGGAACGTGGAGCAAGCGAGTACAGAAGCAGACGCGGCAGAACACCTCTACACCAGAGTCTTGCAAGACATCGACGACGAGGCCGAGGTGACGACTGTGGTGGTGGAGGAGACTACTGCCAGAGCGGGGGCGCGGTTCGCGAAGAAACTTGCAGCAGAAAAGAAGAGCAGACAGTTCGTCGTCCCGGGGAAGAGCCACTCTCACCAAGTGCGCAGCCTGCGCGCTACAAAGCCGAAGAGTTCGGGGAAGCCTGCTCGGGGGACGTCAGACATCGCCCGTCACTTTCTGCGAGTGGCGATGGAAGCTGACACAGAGCAACAGACCGAAGTCGAGGGGGAAGGCAGACGCGACTACCCCGCCGGCGCCGTCCCAGACAAGCCGCCTTTGAAGAGAAAGCGAAAGAAGTACGGTGGCGTCTGAGGGAAGGCACACCGCTCAAAAAGAGCCCGACTGGGGGAGACCAGCCGACGCGACAAGGGGTGTTTTTCGCCGTGACTAGTCAGGAGTTACACCTCTGCCCCTAAGCTTCCTCTCCTTGTTGCGTCTGGCCGGGGCCTCAGCACTTTTCACCTTTCACTCGCTCAAACTTGTGCCGAGCAAATTGGGGGAGATCTGCATGTCTGTTTGTGTTGTTCTTAGGTTGATGCTTTGGTTTTGGGGGAACATGCAACCTCTCACCGTGATCGCATGCCAATGAGGAATAACCTCAGTCCCTGCCCTATGTCGAAGCCCGATTTGGGGGACCTTTACGTTCCCGTACAGCCGAGCCCCCTAAAGGAAAACCCCCTAGGGGGAACGTCGTCCCGCCAAGTGATGCGGGTGTGCGGACCGCACGGGGGAAGGGCCAGGACGCAGCCCTTCCCTCCTACCCGGAAGAGAGAGAGAGAGAGAGGACGATCTTAACCTATCATCAGGGGCACTCGTTGTAAATTCTCACGCCCTTTCCAAAAGCCCCAGAACACATGGGGGCCCATGTAGCCGGGGGGCCTCGCACGCTCCCCATGCCCTGCTGAAGAGAGAGGACGATGGTAACCCGTCTGCAAGTGGTCGTGTGCGAGCTCCATCCACGGAATAGGCGAAAGTCTGTCAGCCAACGTTGAAACCTTATTGATCTCCAGGCTTGTTTTACATTGTTTCTTTGTGCTGTGCAGGTAGACAGACATGAGGGGGAAATTTGTACAGAGTGGAGTCTTCCATCTCGCAAGCCCTGATGCTCTTAGACTTGTAAACATCAGAGCTAACTTGTAGAGAGGGGACAACGGAGTTCTACTAACAGCACGTAGAAAAATTCCCTTATCTGATCTTTGATCCTTTGTTGATGCGGAAGCACATTGTCCATGAGAATGTACGTGTCCTTCAGCTCGCTATCGTATGTTTGATGGCTTTAGCCCAAGAAGGACACTACATTCGTTTCCCACTCCCCGCAGTACCCATTCAATGAAGTGGGTGGGCTTTGAAGCCCGGGAACGTTAACCCGTCCCCCCAAGCCCAGGGGAGAGAGTGAGAGAGAGAGAAGACGATGAGGAAGTTTGGACTGAAGAAAGCAGCTTCTTGTGTTACGTCCCCTCTAACAACCTAACACGCATGTGCCTGATTGCACGAAAGCCTACCCGGCAATGCCCCAGGGAAAAAGAATCGGAAGGAGGAGATAACTAAGTAACAGCAATAAAGAATACTAAGAAGCAAGCAGGAGAAGAAGCGGAGGAAGAATGATGAAGAAGAGGAGGAGCAGAGAGAGACAGCGGTGAGGCAAGCGTTCCTCTATCGCAGGACATCCTGCACCGCACAGAGCCAAACGCATTTCGTGGCTTAGCTTTCAGTCAGAGGAGGCCGGCCTTGCCTGGTGCGTGGACTCAGAAACGAAGGAAGGAAGAGTGTAGTGAATGAGTGAGTGATAAAATATAGAGGTAGTTTTCCTGTTGTTTTTTGTCCGGTGAAAGAGAGAAAGAGAAAAGCTAATTGCTACAGCTTGTTAGGTTGCCGTTTGGCTCGTGAAACTGTAGCAATCCCTGTGTTACACGGAATCAGACCCAGACGAGGTTGCCCGCCTTCCTCCTCAAGCCAAGTAGAGCAAACAAAGCATAACCTCTAGAGCAAGAGGCAGCAGTGCTCGCCTCTCTCGCTTCAGCTCTATGCCGCCCCTACCCGCGGACCTGTGCATAGCTTTCGGACGTCGTGGCAGGAGATCCAGGCCTCGAAATGGGTGCTGCTGCAGGCAAGCCCACGTGTTTATCTGCATTGCACCACGCCTTCATGTGGGTAAGAGCCTCCGAACCCGGCCCCAAGAGGACGGTTCTGCCGAAGCTGCCGCTGCAGCAGAGAATACGGACTGGGAGGAGCCGTTTCAGGAAGTTGCGAACGTGGGAATCCGAAGGTTTTAGCTGTCGAGCTGCTGAGCTCGACCATGACCGTGCGAGCATCTGTTTCGCTTGGCTTTTCGAGCGACGGAGGGTGAAATGCATAGAGAAGAGGAGAGGGACGAGCTGAGTGGCCTTGGGTCTGGGCCTCGCTTTGCAGGAGACTGCGATCCTTGAGCAGCTGGAGGCGTCGTGAGCCCAAAACAGCCCATGTCAGTCCCGAAACGTTTCCTGCTCCTTCCGTTCTTGCAGCTCCTGACCGCGCTCTCGCCGGCAGCAGCCAGTGCACTGGTTTGGGCCAAAGGGGCTTCCGGCTTTCCTGATGATCGTTAATGATGCTTGGTCCTTTCCCGTCCGTTCTTCAATCAGCTGATGCGGCTCTCATATGTCGAAGGCGATTCCCAGTCAGTAGTCTGAGCCGGATGATGTGTGTGTCGACTTAGCCAGCACAGTGTGCGGGGCTGATTCTTGCGATGTCGTTTTGGTGCAAGAAAGTTCATGAAAGTTACCAGTCAGTGCCCGGCGAAGCTGATGGGGCTCGCCTTCTGGGCCTTTTATGCTGAAGTCTCCAGATAGTGATTGGTTTTTGTTGCCTTGCCTGGTCTACGCTCATGATGCTTGTATGCCGAAAGCATTTCTTGGCTCATGCCGGTGGGGCTTGGTGTTTGGTCTACCCATCTAACAGCTGAGACGCCACTTCCCCTCTTGCCGACTGACTTGCGAGCTGTGGCTGATGCTGCTTGCCAACGATCTTCTCCGCTTGCATAGATTCTGCTTACCTTGTTGTATACGCAGGTGCTCGCGACCGATCGGGTTTAACTCAGCGGATGTCGATGATGCCGGTGCGTGTTCGTCTTCCCTTTGAACCCTCAACTTGATGCTAATGTGGCGGTTGCCGGCCTTGTGCAGAACTTTCACGCTGATGAGGCTTAACTTCTTTGCCTTTCTTGCTGACACATCCCGCAGCCTATGACCGAGCCTAGGCAGAGCCTGGCCTAGGCAGAGCCTAGGGGCTGGCCTAGGCAGAGCCTACGGGGCTGGCCTAGGCAGAGCCCAAAGGGCGGGCCTTTTTTGTTGGTGCACACCCGATTTGCTAGGGGCTGGCCTAGGCAGAGCCTAGGGGCTGGCCTAGGCAGAGCCTAGGGGCTGGCCTAGGCAGAGCAGCCCCCAGCCCCCCCCCAAAGGGGCTGCCCTTGACAGAGCCGAGGGGCTGGCCGAGGCCAGTGTCCGAGTGCGTGCCGATTGCACCGGCAGTTGCTGCTCATGGTGCTCGTGCTAGGAATTGGCTGAGACTCTCACCTCGTTGACCTTTCATGCTAGTTCCTGCAGCAACTACTGCCCATGATACTCGCACGAGCTCGTCCTCAGATGACGAGTTGTTCAATATGATGCCGATGAGTCGCACATGTGCTCTTTTTGAACGGGTTGAGATGATCCGCATATTTATCTCATGTTTATTATGTTATCCCTGGTTGCAACTTGCAGAACTTATAGGGCTTGGCCTTACCGGACTAAGACCCACACTGTTTGTGGAACACAGACTGCTGAAGCTCCTTTTGACGGGGAAGGAACATGAGCATCATTCTTCCAAATTTTTTACGGACTGCGTTTACACGTTCTGAAGGAGCTACAGAAGGATGAGGATGCAGGCAACGCGAACCTGGCCGCTCAGTTTGCGTGCCCTGCTTGCATCTGCAGACTCAGAGGAGCTTACTCGGACTGCTTTGCGGCCAATGCCGGCTGCATGCAAATCAGCACCTGCAGTGCACACTGCATCGGTATTCACAACGCCCTGCGCCCACCCAGAATGCTGTGCAAGGAGACCGTGTTCTCAAGATTTGAGCCATGCATGCTTGGCCCTCAGGCATTACGAGGAAATGATTGATGCTGAAGATGCTGAGAACTGGGATGGACGTGGGGATTTGAACCTATTCCGCATTCAGTGTGAGTGGAAACGATGCAGGCTGCGCGAGCACCAATTCCATCTGAGCTTTCTTGTCATTGTCAAATGATCCGAAGCTTGAAACATCAGGAAGCCGTAAAATCACAGCCTTGCATCCAAGCCTAGGACTTTTCAGCGCCAACGCAGCATCTGCTTGTGACAACTGTGACCAGGATGGTCCGAGAGTGGCGGCGGCTCCATCTTCACATCGAGCAGCCGATTGACTTGGCATGTTAGTTCAGTTACGAAGATGTGTGCCGCAACACTACAACGACAACGATGACTACTGCTGCTACTACTGCCACCACTACTACTACCACTACTACTACTACCATTACTACTACTACCATTACTACTACTACTACTACTACCACTACTACTACTACTACTACTACTACTACTACTACTACTACTACTACTACTACTACTACTACTACAGTACTACTACCACCAATACTACCACTACTACTACTACTACTACTACTACTGCTACTACTGCTGCTACTGCTACTGCTAATACCGCTACTACTACCTCCTACTGCCACTGCTGCTGCTACTGCTACTTCTGCTTCTACTACTCCTACTACTTCTACTACTGCTACTACTGCTACTACTGCTACTACTACTGCCACTACTGCTACTACTATTATTACTGCTGCTGCTGCTGCTACTACTACTACTACTACTACTACTACTACTACTACTACTACTACTACTACTACTACTACTACTACTACTACTGCTACTGCTACTGCTACTACTACTACTACTACTACTACTACTACTACTACTACCTCCTATTGCTACTGCTACTGCTACTGCTACTTCTACTACCTCCTACGGCCACTGCGCTGCTCCTGCAACTTCGACTGCTACTGCAACTGCTACTGCCGCTTCTCGCCGCTCCGCGCTCCCCTCAACTCAAACTCAAATGTTCGACTGTCGGCCCGAAAGAACCACAAGTAGTAGCTGTAGTCTCAACCCTGCTCCTACACTACGACGACCAGGACTACTACTACTGCTTCTACTCCTCCTGCTACCACTGCTCCTTCTGCTACTACTACTACTCCTACTACTACTACTACGACGACTACGGTGACCCCGACTACGACTACGACGACGACTACTACTGCTGCTGCTGCTCCTACTTGCCTTTCTACACTTCCCCGGTGTCATTTCGACATCCGAGGCAAGACCCGTCCACGTGCTATGCCCTGGGATGCGGCTCGATGACGGAGAGGTCCTTTTTCGAACTCCTGTCCCTTCATTCCATCCGCGTGCTCTACGACTTCCGCAGCCTGCCTGCTATTGAAGGAATGCATGAGGTGCGAGTTGTGCTCTGCCTCCGATCGGAGCTTTGCAGGTTCGGACGGCGAGCAAGGCCCCTCGCACTTCAAGCCAAGTCATCTGGAGGGTGCTTGCAAAAGCCTTGGGCTCAGTGCACGTGGAAGAGTTTGGTTTGGAATCCTCTTCACACCGATTCCAAGTGCCTCGGCGCTCGGTTTTCTGGAGTCGCGAGCCCCAGAGCCCAGGGCATTCAGTGCATTACCGCTTCGCGCCCTTGGGCCGCGAAGGGGCATACGGCATCCTGAAGCACCTCAAGGAGGCACTTGCATGAGGGAGCATTCTGTTTCCCAGGCTTTGTGTTGAAGAGCGGCCTTGAACACTGCCAATCAAGCAAAGCTCAGTCGGGTATGCACATGTCGGATGGTGTCTGCCAAGTTCGAGTCAGGTATATCTAGTTTCGCGCTTTGGGTCTATCTAGGATTATCTAAGCACGTGGAAGACGACGACTGTGACTTTGGATGCATTGAAACGTCCAGGTTTCAGTTTTCGGACAGACGGATGAGATTCTTGAAGTATCTGTATCCTGCTGGACCGTTCCGATGATGAAAGAGGACGAGGGCCGCAACATGCTGGCCGAGCTGGTATGGTGGGCTCGCCGCAAGCGGACAGCCTTCCTAGGCCCGGCGTTTTTGAAGAGAGGCTAGGGACAGATACTAAGCTTAACCACAAGCGCAGATCCGACAATGCCGATCGAACACGGAATGTGAACAGAAGGCCGCGCAATGTCAAGAAGCTACGTGGAATTTGAAGAAGAGCCAAACAAGCTGACCTGTGACGGTGCAGCTGTTGTTGACAGCGTATGTCAAGCTATCAACACAGACACTGAGCCTCCTTGGGTAGCTCTGACGACCCCTAAGATCCCCCAAGAGGCTTGCTTGGTAGCGCAATTTCATGCAGCTTTGGAAAGACTCTCCTCTCAGTGAGACCCGCACACAGGCAAGGAAGAGGACTGGCGTGACTTGTCTGAAACTCTGCATGTACTTATCATGGTCCTGGCGACAGAAGTGCGCGAAAGCGCCGGAAATCACGACGTGCCAGAATCGAAAGCCCAGCCAGTCTCCATGCTTCAATCCCCAGTCCGAGCTGAAGATTCTTAGGCGTCGACTCCTGTATGTCAGTACTTCTGCCTGCAACGCAGCTCGAAGGTCTAGTGCTCAAATCAGGTCAAGATCATCGCGCTGCGGTCGCCTCACGCTTGGCTGTTGCCGGCCATGGTCGCCTGACGAAGCTTCTCGCTCTTTTTCGTTTCAACGTGGCTCTTTCTGGAGTGTCCAATCGAGAGATCGAGTCCGAGGGAGAGATCCAACTCCCAAACTGCCAGGTGTCAAGCACGTGTCGGCAGATGGGGCTCTTGAGGACCATCCGTATGATTTTGAGATGCCCGACTTCATCGCCGGTGAGGAGGCAGTCCCCGGCATCCGACACCAGTGGCTTTTTGGAGCAAGAGCCAGTTTCGTTACCAAGATTGGCAAATGCAGGTTCGCCTGCGGCGCCTGGAGAAGCAGCGACTCGCTGGTGATCTGGCGCGGCCCACGAAATCCGCAACCTCACGTAGCACTGAGGCCACAAGGGGCATGGTGGATCTGTGACTCCAAGAGCTGACGACGAGTCGCCTCTGGCCAGGTGGTCGCGCAGCGGCTCACCCAGCCGCAGAAGGCGCGTGCCGGTGCTTCTGAGTCCATGGCAGTCCTGCTCCGCTGCCCTGCTGCCCTGCTTCAAAGCGTGCTTTCCACGGAGATCTTCAGCTCTGAGACCCGGGCCGGGCAGGTCATTGATGCCGCAGCCGAGCTGCGGAAAGCGAACACTCAGGCATCTTGTAGCGCCACAGCCGGGTTTCGACAGAGCTTGGCGAAGCTGACAGGTCGTGGGGGGCTTCTGGTGCTTCGTCAAGAGAGTGCCTTTGTCCAGGTTGAGCTCTGCCGCATTCAACGGCGCCTTGCGGATGTCGAGCGCAGGCTGGGGCTTAGGCCAAAGGGGGCTGAAAGCTGAGCGGAGTACTTGGCAGATCCGCCTCCTCGGATGCTAAAGCGGGCCTGGGACCGAAGCTTCTGCACGCAGCCCGGCCAAAGAGGGATCGCCGCTTTGTTTTGCGCATGGACTTCCGAATTTCCCATCGCCTTGGCTTCTGGAAGAACGCTCTGGCCCTTGCGAAGGTGAACAAGTGGGTAAAGGCCCAGGCCGAGGAGCAGCGGGAGAACTTGGCTGCGGGAAAGACTAAGGCCGGAATTGCCCGGGATGGAAGGGCGGCAGGTGCTCGTTGCAGATAGTAATCTGTCCTACAGAACTTCCGGTTTTATGTAGCCCCGGACTTCCTTTTAAAACCGCTGCATTGAACTGAGCTTGATGACAGCGTGGTTTCAGCAATTTCCGCCCCAGGCTTGATCAACAAATGCTTCTGCTTGTCGTCTGGCTTGAAATGCTTTGATTTTTCACAATCTGCAGGATGGCAAAGACAAGGACAAACTTGCCGCAGGCGGGAGGGGTTTCGTGGGTCATCGGAATGTCCAAGTCGTGTCCTAGGATCCGGGGTTGCAGTTGCTTGATAGAGCTGCTTTGCCTTTGCGGACTAGTTGCTAGCTTCTCATGTGGGGAGTTTACGATTCAAGCCGGGCGGGGGGCGCATCTCAGCTACAAATATCGACGAAAGGTTTCGGGCCCCAGTGGAAGAGCATTTTCGGGTTTAGGGATCAGGGTGGAATTCCACTCACGGCCGGTCTGAATTGTGGACCTGAAGTGCTACCGGCCAACTGCACTCGGGATGGCCTGAAACGCCCGCCGACCGGTCAGGTGGGCCAGCACCGTCCTATGTCTGGACGGGCAGCGGAGGAACATGCGGTGGCAATCCTGACTTCCTTGCTGCCGCGAATCTGATCCAGAGGGATTCTACTGGTTACTTCATACCGTTTGTCTTCTCAGGTTGCAGTCACCACGCAAGTCTGAGGGTATTGCCAAAAGTGGTGCCGAGTTGCTTTTAAAAGCAAAAGCACCTACCGCATTTCTGCTCCCGGGGCCTAAAAACGAGACAGATTAAACCGAGGCCATCTCTTCTGACGATGTGCTGGCGGCTCCCACCTCCGAGCTCTCGCTCTCCGTCGACGGAGGATCGGTGTGTGACTGGGAATGGCTCTCCCGCTGAAAAGCGAAAGCTGCGAGGCGGCTCCGGCGGCTCCGCGGGCTCCGCGGGCTCCGCGGGCTCCGCGCTTCGAGGCATTGCCTGCAGCGAAGCCGCAGCATCGCCAGGGAGAGCGGATGGCCAGCCTCTCAGGTTGTGCAGGTGAGATAAAGTTTTACTCTGGCAGCTGTCAGGACTGTTGATGTTGGTTGGCCTTTGTGTTGGATTTTGTTTCCAAAGCTGTCCCGGCCAATTTGTCCTTGAACCTCTCGAGCTGCAGTACACATGGAAAGAGAGCCGCTGTTGTGGCCGCTGTGAGAGCAGTTCAACCAAACAGGACATACACTGGACATACACTCTGCAGTCTAACGCCATCCTCACTCAGTGCTGTTCTGCAATTTGTGCTCCAGGTGGCCTCGCCAGCGAAACGGCGGCAGCGGCTGCTTGGCTTCGCTCGACAAACCCACTGCGGCCTAGGGACGACAGGGGCCAGACGAGAATGACGAGAAATTCTCTCACACGCATCCCTCGCCTGTGACCCCAGGTCCAGGAGTCCATGCACGAAGCCCCGGAAAACTCTGAGCAGCTCGTCATGCAAATAATGCAATGGAGGTACTATGAGCTGGCACAGGCATGGAAGTATGCTACTTGCCCGCTTTCTTCTGTTTAGGATGACGGTAGGCTCTTGCAATGTTACTGTAAATCTACGACTGTCGGCGGGGTAGCGCAAGCGATCATCATTGACTGTGCTTGTTCGCTGTGAGTTTTGGACTCGGGCTTCAGTCTTCATGGACTATATTTGGTGCAGCGCTTCACGGTTCACGATTCGGCGAGATGATTCAGAACGTCAGGTCCCCTAGCAGTCCTAGCAGCTATCAAAAGCAAGGTAGGCAGGCGGTACAACTGGCAAGTCCCCGGCAGCCCGTCCACGTCCGGAGCTCCCAGGCCCTTGCGCGAGCCGCTGTTGAACTGTCGCAGATGGGCCAAGCGTCAGGGAAACGGAGCCCTCGCTGGCAGCTGGCTAGGGATTTTTGAACCAAGGGGTCAAGCAGGGGTTTTGAAGTCGCTTCTGAAACCAGCAGGTGATACGAACCGGGGAGCCTTGACTCATAGATTCTGTGCTCGTTGATCGACTGGCCAAGTGAAAGCCAAGGTGCTGCCTGACATTCCCAAACTGCTGAGAGCGGGTGCTCCTTCAGGGCTTCATGAACACTTTTGTGCCGGAGAGAAGCACTGGTGGCGAACGAGCATCGTTGACGCGGGCTGACTCCTACAGTCTACCGTTGGACAGAATTCACTTCGGTGGAGAGAGATTTTCTGCTCGGCGCGGTCATGTGCCTCGAGCACCTCGGGCTCTGTGCGGGAAGCCCGTCACAGGAACGACCGCACTGTACAGAAAGCGCAGGGGTGTACGCAGGCAATGGCTTGGAACCTGAAGGTCCAATTGTCGCTTGAACCAAGTGATCACCCGGTGCTTGTTACGGCACTTGTCCTGTACAAGATGGGAGTGGCAGCCGGCACGCCCAAGATGAGCAGCCACTCCCCTGAGTGCCGCTTGCCTGAACAATGAAAACAAGCTTCCAGAGCGGCTTGCACACATACTGTTTTGCATGGCTCGCAAGTCCACCCGTTCTGGTCCTCCGACGGAAAGGCTCGCAGATAGATTGGAGCTAGCTCGAAACACGCAGCATCACAGTGTGAGGCCTGGATCGGGCATGCTCCGCACGCAGCCCAACTAAACTCCAGAGCACCCTACTGTCAGCCTTACGCCTCGCAGCTTGAACGTCTCAGAAACAGTCTGGGGCTCGTATGGCTCGTGGACAAGAAGACAATGAGATACCAACGTCCAGACTGGTGCTCTGGCCCGGGGCGACCCATTAAGCAACACCTAGGGTTGACAGCGACGAAAACAGCAAGCACTGACTCCAGCACTTGCAAGAGTTGCGGTCTCGACCTGTCATGGCAAACGGCGATGACTCCGCAGGCTCCTTCATCCACAGGCGGGAAATCTGGTAGACGTTCTTCATCGTCTTAGTTGAAAGCGCCACCGCCACTTCCCAACTTTGGCCATTTCGCCAGGTTGTTGAAGGAAGAGGCAGGGCATCATGCTTGGCCCATGCATGCAATCGAAATCACGAGATTGGTGCAGGAAGCCACGGAATGGGCGCAGGAAGCCGGCGATGAGGCCTTCGGTTGCTCTCGCATGCTTTCTGCTTGCTTGAACAACTAGTACTGCGCACTTCACATCAGAGAGAGGGTGAGTTATCGCTATGCAGCATGCAGTCTTTGCGGCATCGAGGTGTGAGCGGGAAGAGTTTCGGGCGGGTCAGGGGTTTCAGTCCTCGCCCGGGTTCAGGAGATGCTCCCCTACGAGGAGGAGGCCGAACGAAACCGCGGGGGTTTGTACCGGTTTGAGCTTTGCGAAAGTGTCTCTGTGTGTTTGGAATCCATGTCATGGTGCCGCGTTGCTCGACTCACGCCCTGAGGAGCTGAAGGAGGAGATGATGGAGGAGGAGTGCCCGGAGGAGGACTGCCACGAGGAGAGCTCCCCAATCAAAGCTCAGTTAAACTTCTGGAAATCCATGGCTGACGTTGTCATTGAGTCATGCCGCTTACTTGCCCGACTGTTGTCTGCGTTGTTTTTGCTTGTCGTGCTTTTTCACTGCGATTTTCACGCGTTGCTTCCGCCTCCAGTCTCACAGCGGGTACATGGATGTGAGGGCACTCACCGTCTAGAGAAGTGCTGGATGATGGGCACTAGGAGCATCGACTTGGTACACAACGAAGAAAAATGTTCTTGCGCAGTGAAGACTGCAATCAAACGTTTGTGCATGTCGTGAAGACAAATCTGTTCTCGTTTCGGGTCTATCTACCACCCGAGGCTTCCAATCCAAAACAGGCGATGCCTGCACCCGGTATGCCAGGAGGGCTATGCAGAATATGCTGAAGGGGAGGAGGAGGACAAGAATCCGCAACCTGTTTTGATTGCCCGTGTCGCAAATGCTGTGATTCAGACTTTGGCAACTTTGCAGAGGGACGTATGCATTGACGGGCAGGGCACGTAAGCATTGGAATCAAGATGGTAAGCATCCGGCTCCCGAATTGGAGCTACAGCCAAACAAATCGTGGCTATGCCTCAAGATGCTTGCTTCGTGCTGAAGGGGAGGCTTGGAGTCCTGGAACCTGCAGTGTTCAAGCCGTGGAACTGAAAGTGATTGTGCACTGTTATCGGGTGCACTCGCGTCCGAGCGTTCTGTCATTCTGTCCAGCTGCCGTGACGATTTCTGCACTGCAGCATCCGTCAGGAGATGGAGGAGCTACCAGCGGAAGCTCAGCCCGAGGATGGACAGCCTGCAGAGGCTTCGAAAAGCACTCGGTCACCAGATGTCCCCTGCGAACCCCGAGCGAGAGAAGATGTCTCACAACGTGTGGAAATTCATCAAACCCAGCAGTTCCCACACACCAAAACGAGCGGATCTACGCTGATGTACACTTTTTGGTAGTGGCTGCTTGTCCAACGATGCAGGTGAAGCGTCACACTCATGGTGTTTACGGTATAGTCGCCAAAACGTGTGACTCTCCGTCCTTGAAGGCCCTCAGCGAAGTCGACGCTGTCCCGAAGCCCGAACGGCCCAAGCTGCCCATATTCTGGCGCCAGGAGGAGGAGGAGGATCCTGAGCTGGACGCGAAGTTTCAGGCGCGGATGTCGGACAGAAAAGGAGATGGAGAAGACGGTGTAAGAAGTGTACGACATGCTCTGATTGGCCGAGGGCCAAGGCTATATAATATAGGTGCAAGGTCGCAAATAATCGAAACGGCAGACTCGTCCCTCTGAGCCCTCTCAGCAGAGTTTCTGTCAGGGCCTCCTTCAGTCGCTCCAGGCCGCTGAGGACCGGCTGGTGGAGGGCGGGCCAACACAGTCTTCTTGACATTGGCGTGGCGAGGGTGGCCGTTTTTTGTCATCCCGGGTTCTTGAGAGACGCTTTGCATCTGCTCAGACCCTTGGACGGCAGGCGCAGGACGAAGCCGAAGCCGCCGAAGCCGAGACCGAACAGGCGGCCGTGCAGGCCGCGATAATTTCTGTTTCCTAGCGATTTCTCTCCGACGGGCCGGTGCCAGAAGTCCCAAAAGTATTTTCACTGCAGGAGCCGTCGAAGCCCTCGCGCCCGCCACCACAGGCCATCGAATGCCGATGACTGGTTGCAGGTTTGAGATTTGGGGCAGTTGGCGCCGCGATGTTGGAAAATGTGCAGAAGCTTCAGGGCATGAAACCACAGTGCGAAAAATTGAACAATGCATCCCGCACAACTCAGCATTCGGCGTGCCCGCACCCATTAGCCCTGAGTGATGCAAACGAGCTAAGTATGCCTGTCAGATTGCGCCCTGGCACCAGCAGAAGCCAATCGGAGGACTGCTTGGGACTGTACAGTAGCTCGCCGTTTTTTTTCTGCAGGTTCAGGCGTGAAGGATGAAACCAGCGGGAGCACACTGCCTCCGGGATTCCAGATGGGGCGACAAGTCCCTCAGTTCATCGGGTCATGGAAGGCTTCACAAAGCCGCGGGAGCCACGAGGCCCTCCGCCCCCAGACGTGGTTCCAGCCCGAGAGGGAAGGGTTGGGGATCAGAGGTCGTGGGATGCATTGGGCCAAGGTCTCTGCCTTCTGAATCGAAGCCTTCAGTCGTTGTGCGGATCATGTTTGCAGTACTCCTATCATTGAGGCCCAGGGTTCAGGGTTCAGGCAGGGTCTTCCAAGGCTCGATTTGAGCTCTCGGCTAAGGCCCGCGCCTCGAAGCGGCGGAGTCTGGATCTGCGAGAAGGGCCTGGGCCCCGGGTTCTGGGCCGCCCTCCGAAAAAAGCACCGCACGAAAACGGTGCCGCCTTGCAGGCTGTTAAGGCCCCTTACGGACCTCTGGGCTCTCCTCCATTTCTCTTCAGCCTCGAGGCCATTCCCAAAGTGGGCCAGCATACCGGGTGTCACCAAGCAGGCACGGGCGCCTGGAGACATCCTCCAGAGGAGCAGGGGCCTGTTGGTGTGGAGTTCTTGGATCTTTGGTGTCAGTGGGCTCCGTGTTTCTGCCTGGTTCCATGCACATGTACCCAGAGATGCAAGGGCTAATCTGCATGTACCATCGCTGGACCCCCAAGCAGAACTCACAAGATCGCAGACATCGCTTCGTTACGAGCTGTTGATTGCTGGGCTTTCGCCACAGGCCTGGAACGTCCTGCCCCCTCCGCCGCCGAGGCGCTCCAACCAAGACCGGCCTTCCCTTCGTATCCGCAATCTTATTCCGAGTAGACCTCAGGCCGCCGGCTCCTGCCAGCCTGCAGGGTGCGGAGGCGCGGTCACGGCGCGCAGAGTCGAAGACATGCTGACAGCAGAAGTAGCAGCCCGGCAATTCCGTCGTGTTCAGTCAGACAGCAGGTTGCGCCGGGCGCGAAGGTGGTGCCTCCACGAGAGCCAGGCTTTCGTGAAGTTGGTCTACTTCCTGTAACTCTCGTCGCCATTCTTTCGGGCTGCTTGCACGTCCAGGCGGTGAAGCTAATGCACAGCTCTTAGCAGCGCTGCACTGCTTAGCTGGGGATCTCGGCTTAGAGTCGAGTCAACACCACGATTGAGTTGCGGGCATCATCCCAACACCCTCAGACAGAGTGCCTTGGCTGCTTGTTGCATGTCGCTCCGACTGCTTAGGCCGATGAGCCCCAGTCCTTCCGATTCGAGCTTGAGAGCATGACCCACACGTACACAACCCCGACACCAATGCCCCAACTGACTGCAGTGGACCCCAAGAGGAAAAAGCCCACTGCCAAGTGCCAAGTATCCGCAAATCTGGCGCATGGACCCGAGGCAGCTTCGGCAAGCAGTGTGGGGCCGCGATCCCGTCGCAGTTGCATTCCAAATAAAAGGCTGAGCCAGTCTCTAGACTCTGGCATGCCGAAGCCTAGCAAAGCCTGCTGTGCAGTGTGCACATGTGTGCATGAGTGTTGCCAGCAGATTATCATCGTTTATATCTGCAGCAACGGGCGCCAGGAGGCCGCCCAAAGGAGCGCCTCCGCCCGGGCTGTGCCAACCTCAGGACGGTGACGGAGAACGTTGGACGTTGGACATTGGCACGGAGTCAGAACATGAACTGCGGCCCCCAGGCACTCGTTTTATTTACCAAGGGCTTGCGAGGTTCGGAAGCAACACTTGCAGGATCCAGTCCAAACACCAAGGCGGGAGCAAAAAGGCGACGGTCGCGTGGTGCCTGCACGCAAGAAGGAGACAGCAGGCAGCTTGGAAGCGGTTGAATTCGGCCTTTGGCTCCTCGCGCTGGCAAGTGCATGGCACTTGCAGCCTGTGAAGACTTGCTGCTGCAGGCTCCGGCCTTCCACACAAAGCTGTGCCGCATTGCCAGGCCCTGCGGAGCGATCGGCCAACGCCTCAGCCGCCCTGGAGAAGGCAAAGGACCTCTTCGCCAAAGGCGCCAGACGCTTTGAGTGGCACTCAGTGCAACTTGAAATGGGATTCTGCACTAGGAATTCGGGCAGTGTTCACAAGGAAGTGAAGAGAACGTGTGACCATGGCGTCGGGCAGGTTACGATTAGGAAGAGTATTCCCAATTCTGAGTGAGAGATCCAGCCGACATGCATTGTATTGAGACTATGGGCGGACTGGTTGGACATTGCAAGCATCAACGTGGTTTGCATGTGGCTTTCTGGAATCAGTGTGGAACAAGAGTGCTCTTGCGCGCTAGGCAAGAAAAACGGGGACCAGGCGCGTGGCCCCGGATGTTGTCGGGGTATTTCTAAAGCTGCCCGTGCCTCTGCTCGAAGCCCGACCCCCGACATCCCCCGACCCCCGACCTCCGGATCCAGCCTGAAGCCTCGCCGCTGCTTTCGGCTCGGTGCCACGGCCTGCTGCTGGCCCTCGGAAGGTGCAGATGGGGAATCGGGATGTGAATCGGTTCAGTAGGTTGAAACTTGAACAAGAACAAGCAACCCCTAAGCCCCTAAGCCCTAAGCTCGAAACAGCCTGCAGCTGAAAAGCGTTCGAAGGTGCAAGAAGCTCCGGTTCGTGGAGCAAACTGCTTCTCGGCTCACTGGGGTGCAGTGGTGCTCAATTTGAATTCGAGCTCACCGCAGACTTACGAACCGCAGAGCCATGATGCCACAAGCACAAGTCTCAAAGTCTCGAGTTGCTGCGAGCCGTTTCAGTATGTTTGGGAGACTTCAGATGGCCCCTGTTTTGTGGTGAGATTCCTGATTCTCTGGGGTTTGTTTCGCACCAGGGGAGGATCCCAACCCTGCGCGTTGTGCGAGCGTTTCTTCGGCCCTGGTTCGCAAAGGCCTGAAAGCCCTGGAGTAAAGCTCCGGGGCCGGGCGAGGTGCCCCCCTGCGCCTGCTGCGCTGCCTTGTTTCCTCGGTGTCAGCTCGAGGTTATAAAAAGCATCCGCGGCAAGAGGTATCACCATGTCTTGTACGACTCCATGGTTCCGGGATGACGAGAAGCCCCCTCCTCGGCTCGCGTTCTGAGATCCAAGACTCCAAGAACTGCTCTCAGCCAGGCCATTCCTGCAGCGCACGGACACGATGTCCCTGGACATCATCCGGCCCAAGGATGTTCCACGTGGACAGGCCAGGCTGTGTGGGTTCGAAATCTTCGGCTGTTGGGAAATTTTAAGCGGCACCTAAACGCGAGACCCTGCCTCACACTCTCCTAGAAAATTCGCCTTCACCCCAGAAGTGTGCCTCTCGATTGCGTGCCAGTCTTCTGGATTGTTACAGCAGTGCGACACAGCATGACACAGCGGCGCATTCCCGACATCCTTGCGCTACAGGTCATGTTCCCCAAGGATTATGACAAGTCGCTCATTACGGAGGCAATGGGAATTGTTGTTCAGACTGAAGAGCATGCGCAGTCACCCGCACCTGATTCAAGCCTGCCACGCTCCAGTTGATCTTGAAACATCCGACTATCCAGACTCTAGGACTATCCACCACTCCGCACTTGACATGGCATTCTGTTCGTCTCCTTCGTTGTGCACTGCGGTTTTCAGAACCGAATTGGCGTCCGTGTTGATATTCGCTCCAGAAGAGCTGCTCCTGCGCCTGCTCTCCCTCTGTTGTGTGGGTGGCCAACTCCAATGCTTCTCGCCCCGAAGTTTTCTGGCGGACACCTTCGTCTGCTGTTGACCGTTGGGCTCATCGTCTGAGAATCAGAAAGGAAGGCTGCAGTGGAAAGAGTTGGAACTGCAGAGACTGATGGGGCAGCGATTGAAGCTCGCGCAGAAGGATAGGCGGCTGTATTTTCGCCCGTCTGTCATGGCAGCATTACACTTTCATGCTTGTGAGCTGGGATTCACACCCTCTTGTCTCCTCGTTTTCGCTTCTCGCTATCGACAGCGCCGCTGTGGTGATCTCTCCTCCGCAACTCCGAAGACTTACGGGTTGCAGGCTCCTTGGTTCTTGCTCTGTTTTGTCATAGCTGAGGATCTAGGAACCATATCCTGCTCTCCTGTGCTTGTACCTGCATGCACTTGTTTGGCCTTCTGGTGGTGTAGCCCCGAGCACAGTCCTCGGGCTTGCGGGCATGTTACATGTGGGACCGAGAGGATGCAGCTTGCGTCCTGGCTATCGTAGTGTCGCAGTGTCAGTTTTGGCGCATCCTCAGCCTTTCTCCGGCGATGATCTAGCGCGAAGCCGTGTGACAGTGCCTTCAACTCTTTCGGCTGGCGCACGTGGTCAGGACATTCATCGGTGTCAGCCGCATTATGACCATCTCAACTACCTGAACAAGCCCGACATGAGCGTCGGATTCTTGGAACGAGAAGGCCTCGTGGTCGGCTGCATCTCGTCAAATCCGAAACTGACTCTCAAAGCTCTGGTCTGAGGGGGCTTGTAGCATTGGGCAGGGAGCCTCCTGCAATGCCGATGTTGCTGTGAATGACGGTAGCAGAGGCGATAGGGCCCATGGCAGGTTATGAAGAGAAGGCTTCTTGGATTCGGGTGACACGGGGGCACTTTGACCCTCAGTCCTATGAGGTCGGCTGTACGGACCCCGTGCATGTCGGGGGCAAGGCCCGTTCATACTATGCCCGGGGCCCTGGCTTTGCTCTCGGCAGCGCTCCAATCAACAAAGTTTTCGCGTCTGTGCACCTTGCATTTGCACGCAGCCTGAAGTCCGAGGCCCCGATGGACCGTCGCCCGCGAGACCTGTCTCTCACGACGGTGCGCGCGAGTTTGCGATCTGTCTGCCGTCGGGTTTGCAAGCCTAGAGCCTGAGCTCCTTGGATTTTCTTGGCCTGGCCAAGCCGAGAGTGGTCAAATCATCAGCACGGAGAGGCAGATATCGAGCTGGCGATCCCCCGAGGGGGCAACCACAAGGGCTCCCGCCGGATTCCCGGCTTGGCCTTGCATTCGGCAATCGGCGGAACTGTCTTGGCATTGTGGAGTTTCGTGTTGCAGAAGCCGCCAAGCCCTGCCACAATCGGTTTCAAGCGCACGTTTCGGTGGGTCTTGTTCTTGCAGCCCCACAGTTGACAGTCATTCGGCTTTTCTATCGTTCGATGCTCTAAGCCGACCCTTGGAGCACAATGTCTCCCAGTCTGGGTTGCAAAACCCCGGCCTTGACGCCAAGCTTCAACCTCCAAGGCCACACAGACCCTGTGTGCCCCAGATATGAGATGCCGTCCTCCTACCAGCCGGGTCCTCGGACGACTCTGCGCCCGTGAGCTTGCACCTGCCAACCCCAGCCGTGGGCTTCCTTTGCTTGGCCGCCAGGGCACCCGTTCCCGAACCGCGCTGGAACGGCCCTGCGCTCGGGAAAGGGCGCATCGCTGAATGGCGCACGCATTGTCTAGTCCTGTGCTCTCGAAAGTGCTAAGGCCGGCATGCCACGGACAACTCCGACATCGAGAAGAGCCATCCTCGGGTGAGCCGCCCTTTATGGCATCGCAGGATGCCGTTTCGGGATGTTGTGTTTTCCTGCATGTCTGGAGTGCCCTTGTTGCCGCGCATGTTGCTGCATGGTTTCGACTTCTTCAGTGTCGCATGATGGGGTGCCGGTTCAAGGTCGTGCTTCAGCGTGGTTTTGGCAGCCTTGCTCGGATGTTCAAGGGTGACGGCATTGAGTGCACCGTTCAAGCATATCGCTGCTCCTGCTCACGACGAAGCCTCAAGATTTGATGCAGGTTCTTCATCCTGATAGAAACTACGTGCGAGACCCAAACGAGGCCAGTCGCGGGCGTGGTCAAAGAGATTTTGTCGCTTTCCATGAAGTGGTCGATACTCATGAACTGACCACACCTTTTCTATCGCGGCGGAGGTCGTCATGGCTGATTGCGGAATGATTTTCTCATGTGACATGACTGAGCGCAGGGCCGCGACATTGAGTACACAACTCCAAACTATGCTGGGTGCTCATGGAGAAGTGCTGCCGTGGGTGGGTGAAGTGATGGCTTATGGTCATGATTACAAGGATCAGGTTTAGCTTTAGCACAGCGGCCGACTCTGGCAACTCGAAGCTTGGAAAGCCTCACCAAGGCAGAGAAGCTGAACGCCCTCCGAGCACGGGGACGTTCGAGGCTTAGAATTTCTTGGAGCCGGCTTGTCACACGGCGGGGAGCGATCTCCAGATACAGCGAAGACCGGCACGAACCGAAATGACTGCATGTTCCACTGAAGAGGTTCAAAGCACGAGAGCGGCTGCGCATGTGCTTCGGTTGGAGTGCAAGGAGTGCTTGACATGTGTCGGCAAGATTCGGGTAGTTCTCTACTGCAAACTAGGGTCCCTTATAGGGTCCTTTTTAGAAGGGTGCCGTACTACATCGGGGACCTAGAAAAAGAGCCGAGGTCCAGACTTCTCTCTCAACGTGCAGGACAGCTTTGCGTAAAGGATCTAGGGTTGTAAACCCGGGGGGGAGCGACACAGGGCCAAGGGATCCAGCCTTCGAGCGCAATGATTTCTGGAGGACATCCTGGGCACCAAGCCGGCAAGGCCCAGATGCACGGACCCTTTGGATCCGAGCTACAAGGCGGGATCGGCACTCTCATGCAACGCCTCGACTGAGCCCAAACCCGGAATGCGTCGGATGCATCAACTCAGCCTGGAAGGGAGTGGCTTCCGAATCGCAACTCAATTCAAGGTTCAGGTTTCAGTGCCTTGTTCAGGGGTAGGCGGTGCTTGAAAGCCACTCACATGCACTGAAAGACGGAGGTCCCAACCAGTGCGACAACTTCGCTCCACGCGAAGTACGCAGAGGATCGCACTCTTCTGCAGGTTTCGTCATTTGCCACTTGCTTGGTCGGACAATCGGCATTCGCCCAGTCCCGCTGCCAGTAGCTCGCGACTTGACCTGACCCTCCCATAGGGTGCCATGATCTGCACTCAGGAGAAGGGCCTTGGCATAGAGCTGCCCAGCCTGCAGGCAAGTGGTGGCTGAAGTCAGGGAAACACAGGGGAAGGTGCACTAGGTACATGATCATGATTGCATATGGATTTCACTAGCAGAAGTGTTCACGGAACCACTTCATGCCGCGCGGAGAATCCAGAAAGCACCTCCAAAATTGTCGCAGCCACAACTTAACTCCGGCCAGTCGAATCTCTGGGTTCTAGCCCCCAGCTGTACGACACGCTGAAACCAAAAAGTAGCCGAACGAAAGCGGAGAAGAAAGCCATCCACGAGATGTAAGCACAGCGACCAACAACGTAAGGGCAGCAACCATTGCAGACGCCCTGTGAGGTCAGGGAGGTCGGCTACGCGGGGGGCCCAAAGG